CAGAAATGTTACTTTGCTGGGGCTTGTTTCAATTCTCACACACACACACACCCAATCCCCTCCACCCACTTCTCAAAATTACTTTGACTTCTTACTGCACGCAGTTCCTAATCCTGCCACAAGGAGCAGTCCCATTAGACAACAATAATGAAAATTCTAGGCTTGATTTATTGCGTTCTTCATTTATGTTTAAATTTTTAAAGTATAAAAATGTTTAAATCCTGTTTTTACCTAGGGATATATGTTAGTGGTTAAAACAGGAAGTTTATGAAATACGAGCTCAAACCCAGTGAAAATTCATAAGCCAACGAGGGAAAATTAACCTGAAGTCCTGGACGGTTGTGACAGACCCGGCATTTCTCTGAGACACTTGCCAAGAGAGGAAGGAATTCAGACCCAGATGGAGCAGTAATCAAAATCCCTGCATGCGCACAGAGGTTGATTAATTATTAGAGTGTGGGTTTTATTATTTGGATATGTAAATGAGCACAGACCTTGGTTATCTCTTATGTGTGAGAACCCCCAAGCAGTAACGACAAGAACCCAAATCTCTTGAGATTTCCCTTCACAACCAGTCACGCTAGGCCGCCAGTCATACAGTGGATAGTGCCAGCAAAGGAAGACCTTCCCAAAACTTACTCGTGAGATCAATCTGGGAAACCCTTCAAAAGGGAAACTCAAATCTTGGGAGAAGTTTTGAAGATGTTCCCAATGTAGATGTGATTGAACATGTCCTCAGTCAAAAAGAAGGTTAACTAAGAAAAGTGTTCTTGTCACATTAGACCGTCCTGTGAGATAACTTGGCACGCTCAAAGGTCAAGTGTGAACTGCTGGGAAACTACAACGGCATGGCTGATTTCCTTACAGATGGACAGATGGACAAAAGTCCAAATGCTAGTGTTGACCTCTTGATAGATTGTTCTCTTTTTTTTTCTTTCTTGGTAACATCATTGCTAAGGTATACTTGACATACATATAATTTAGTCATTCCAAGTGAACAGTTCAGTGATTTTAGTATATTCACAGCATTAGGGAGCTATTACCACAGTCAATTTTGGAACTGAAATTCCTAAGCAACCAAACTTACTCTCTGTCTCTATTGATTTGCCTATTCTGGATATTTCCTACAAATAGACCCATATAATGTGTGGTCTTCTGTAATTAGCTTCTTTCTCTTGGCATAATGTCTTCAAGGTCCATCCCTGTTGTAGCAGGAATCAGTACTTTCTTTTTTATGGCTGAATAATATTCCGTTGCTTAGGTATACCACAGTTTGTTTGTCCAGGGCTTTACAGACATTTCGGTGGTTTCTAGCATTCAGCTATTATGATAATGCTGCTCTGAACATTTGTGTATAAACTCTATGTGGACATAGGTTTTCCATCCTTTGGGGTCTTTACCTCAAAGTAGAATTGCAGGCTTAAACAATAACTCTATGTTTAAGACTCAGAGAAACTTCCAATTCCATTTTCCAAAGCGGTGGGACCATTTTACATTCCTACCTGCAGTTTATGAGGGTTCTAATTCTGTCCCATCCTCCCCAACACTTACTGTTGTCTGCGGGTTTTGTGTGTTTGTTTTTGCTATAGCCATCTAGTGGGTGTGACGTGGCACCTTACTGTGGTTTTGAATTGCATTTCCTTGATGGGTAATGACGTTGAGCATCTTTGCAGGCGCTTGTCGACCATTTGTATATCTTCTCTGGAGAAATGTCTATTCAGGTCTTTTGCCCATCTACTCATTGGGCAGACCTTGATCTGTCCCAATTTTAGGCACTTTATACATATTTATTTATTAACCAAATGAATAAAAGAATGAATCAGTATGGAAAATTTTATACCCCTAATGCCAGTTTTGAGAAAGTACTAATGTCTGTGAGAGCAGAGCCTGTGCCGGTCTCGGTAATGATTTTATGCCCAGTGCGAGGAAGACTCTGTCCACCCACCCAGTGTCGGGTTCAGTGAGTGTAAGTGCTCACAGAATGACTGAATGTTGGTTGCAACATGTTTCATGATAAAAACAAGTAGCTGGAGAAATTATCAATAAGGTACATGATTATTCAATGAGCATGACATCAACTGGAAAATCTGTGCAAACGTGTAAACAGACAGCATCAGGTCAGTGACCCAGACGGCAAGGGCTCTGGACTGCTGTGCTCACCAGACACCGTAGCAGCCGCTGCTGGGTTCACTTGTCACAACTGACCTGTGGTTCACTTGTCCCTGGGTGTTCTCAGTGTTTCTTCTTAACAGTAATGTGAACACTTACATTTTTAATTTTTTTTTAAGGGAAGTATGTATTATAGAGCACATACTGGCCCAGAAAAGGGTTGCTACCTGAATTGCTCTTTTTCTTTCTGGGACAAAAAAAATCACATAGGAAATCCTGACCGAGGAAAAACGAACCAAAACTAGATCATGTGAAACAATTCATCATTTAATTAGGAAAGAGTGTCTCGCACAATAGCTTGTTTGGCAAGTCTTTTCAAGCCCGTGACAGCTTTTGTTGCAAATATAAGATCCCTACAATGGAAACAAAATTCAAGAGCTGATCATGAATCTGACGAATCATTAGAGCTGTAGTGATTAACACTTCAGTGAGTAAAACTGTAGTGATTTAAGAAAATTATTTGTAACAGTATTTACACAATAAAACAAATTGTTTCATAAAAATGCCTCCAGTCCAATAGCATGGCCAGTGGATCTTCGGCCCGTGTGTTACCATGTGACACAAGAGACTTAATCTCAGGGCTGGACACATCACAAAACATCCACCAACAGCAGCCCAACAAACTGCTACATTATGGCACTCGGGTCTCTCTGCTCCAGTGGAAGGGATGTTGTTGCGGATATCGTGAGAGTTGATGAAGGAACATTGCCTGAATGCTCAACCTATTAGACCGTGTGTTTCTTTTGAATCCAGCCAGTTTTTCAAAATCGATAAACTTGGTGAAATAACATCTCACCTATAAGTCAATACGATAAGTAGTAAAATAGTCTTTTCATGGTTATTTAAAAGCATTACATAAAATAAAAATATGCACTTTGGGTAACATTCTGTCATCACGATGATGATACCTCTATAATGAGAATATACACTGAATAGGGAAGAATCCAGAATTTTTGTGAATGAGATAAAATAGGAGACTGAGAAGACACCCTTTGCTTCAGCCACGCTCCTGGGCTTCTTACAGGACTTGTCACTCCTGTGTAGTTCAGGCCACTTTGAGGGACGATTTTTGAGAAGTGCCAGTATTTGTGGTTTCCATCTGACGCATGAATTTAAAAACACCTCTTTACTAGATCTTCCTGGCAGGTTCCCAGCAGGAGAAAAGACCACAGAATAGGCTGGAATGTTTAAATAGAATTAACAGAGTGACTGTTTACAGAAAGGATTTTCAGAGGGAAGGCAACGGAACCTGGCAATAGGGCTCAGGCAACCAGGGATTTGCAACAGGAAGCCAGCGCTGCCTCTCGCCTGAAGGTGTTGCTGGGTCCTGTGAGCACAGCTGTGGAAGGGAACCATTCCAAATTCAGAGTGCGGAATACGGTCACAGCAGGGCCCCACGCCCACCGGGCCACAATGCTGAGGCGGGGAAGATCCACCTGGATCTTTCTCTCTTCCCGTATAGGAATCTCCTCAGTTCTCACATTGGCCAAGGCCAACCAGATCGCAGAGGGGAATGGATCCCAGGTGATGAGGTCTTAGAAGTTAGACCCCGGCATCTGCGAAAGAGAAGCATCAGGCCTTCTCTCTGACCCCCTCTCTCAGGGAGAGGCTGCATTCATTCAGAATTTTGCTTTCAGTTATAGCGACCACTCCGCCTAGCTCACGCAACACAGAGAGCGTGTGGCCAGACAGCAGGGTGTCCTGCCAGTGGAGTGCAAATGCAGGCAAGCTTCAGGGAAGGCCGGACCCGCAAGTCCAGAAAACCCAGAACATTCTCTCTTGGCATTACTCCTCCGTCCAAATATTGGTTGAGTTTTTCTCCGTGGGAAATCAGAAATGTCTTTCTCTCCTGTTTGGTTCACCGGAGGACAGGGACTTCAACACAAGCCTTTCGGTTCCAGTTCAGACTCTCCCTTTGCTCTGTCCCAAACCTAAATGCCAGGAAAGGGTACTCTGTTTGCAACAGTGGGGATGAAGTGCCCGCTCCTGGTGCCCGGGGTCAGGGGAGCAGGGATACAGACCAGAAGCCTGGGAGCAGAGAGCCCCCCAACCCCATGCGCAAGTCAGAGCTGGGAGGAATATGACCCATGCATTCCATGCAGGGGGCTTCTAAAACTTTGTTTTTGAGCCAGTGCCAAAGAATTAGAAAGTAATTTTAAGTATGTATGCACTTTTAATATATGAATTTAAAATATATAATACACATACCTGTACACAGATATAAAAACACGAACATAATAATTTCATCCTTAAAGAATAACAACGTTGAGATGTCCAACTTTTTGGCATCTCTGCACCATGGTGGAAGAAGAGTTGTCTTGGGCTACATTAAATACATCGTGACACATGATCACACACAAAAAAATCTCATAACGTTTTAAGTAAATTTACAATTTTGTGCTGGGCCACATTCACAGCCATCCCGGGCCGCATGCGGCCCATGGGCTGCAGGTTGGACAGCCCTGGAAGGTTAATCACACAGAGTGTAATAATAGAAGCTATCATTTGTTGTTTTAGGTCCGTTATATGATCTATTGTATTTCATTGCTATGATGATGCTATTAGGTGAGTATGACTCTTACCCCCGTTTTGCAGTGAGAAAACTTAATTATACAGAGGTTTAGTGGATAATTCCTATTCCTTCTTTACTTACTGATAATTCCTTTTCTTTCTTTACTTTACTTTAAGGAAACTGAGAGTAGCTGAAAAATCCTGAGTCACCTGGTCTTATGGCCTAGACACATTACCAGAATAAAAGGGTTGGAATGACACCTTAACATCAGTTATGGCTCGGGGGGAGCTCCTGATTGTCTGTGTTCTGTCCCCTGTAGGTATATCAGGATTGGAGGTAAAGAGTGTGAATTTAACAGGAACTTCCGGCTTCTCCTTCACACAAAGCTGGCAAATCCTCACTACAAGCCAGAATTGCAAGCTCAGACAACCCTCCTCAATTTCACCGTCACGGAAGATGGTCTAGAAGCCCAGCTGCTGGCAGAGGTGGTCAGTATTGAGAGGCCAGATTTGGAGAAACTTAAGGTAAAAAATAAGAACTCATCCACCAACATGTATTCAGTACCTGCTTTGTGCAAATTATAGCGCCAGACACGCCAGTATTGTCAGATAGGATTCCTGCTTCCAGGAGCTTGCAATCTCAGGGACTCTGGATAAAGGAGGTGGTTAGGGTTGTGCCGCAGGTGAGGGGGCGGGGGGGGGGCTGGCTCCACATCTAGTTTGATGCAGGTGATGAGGACAAGCAAAGAGGCCTCTGTGGGTTGGCTGCCCATAGCCAGTCCAGCCAGGGCACAGGAACGAAAAAGCAGAGTCACAGAGCGAGGTTGGGAAACTTAAGGGACTTGTTGTTGGTTCTGACTAACATTTAAAGGAAAATTTGTGGCTTGAAGTGCATGGATTAAGAAAAAATACTGAAAATAATTACATTCAATGTTGAATACAGAAAACGAGGAAACTAATATTATAAACATAGAAAGAGGGCGGTAGTAGAGTCAGGTAATTGCAACAGAGACAGTAGGGCCTGAAGAGGCAGAAGTGTTTACCCTCTGACCCTCTATGGAAAAAGCCCGCCACTCCTGGGACCCATCCGTGGTTCTCAGACGGCAGTTCCTGAAGCAGCAGCAGCAGCAGCAGGTGGGACATTCCTTACACCCAAACTCTCAGACCACAGCCCAGACCCTGCCCACTGAGATTCTGTTTCACCAAGCACAGCAAGTGGTCCTCACACGGGCTCAGCCTCCGTTTGAGACTGCTCTCCCTTGGATTCACTTCTGCACCAGCCAACCAGCAGGGCAGAGACAGCACTCGGGTCAAGGCCAGAGTGGGCACAGTTCCCTTGAACTGCAACATGCCGGGAGTGAGGGATCCACAGCCCAGGGGTCAAAGGGCCACAGGTTTGCTGCCATGTGCACCAACTGCACAGGGACCATGTCTGTATTCGAGACACCATATGACCATATGAGAAAATAGACTTTCAAGGCTTACGCACTCACACGTTTTTTCTTCTTTCCAAAAGGTTTGAAGGCTTGGTTAATTAATTGACTTGTTTTTACTTTTGATAATGAAGCTTTTCAAACATGAAAGTAAATAGTTACAAATCCCAAATAGTTATAAATTCCCATATGGGATCATTATCCAACTTCAATAATTATCAGCATTGTGTTGCTCTCCCCCTAATTTTGTCTGAAGCAGTTTTAAAAAATAAATAAGTTATTTTACTTTGAAATGATTTTACATTTATTTACATGAAAGTTGCAAAGCTGTTACAAAGTTCTTACACACTCGAACCTAGTTTCAGTTTCTCCTGATGTTATCATCATTCTTTTTTGTAACATAAATATAAAATTTATTTAAAATGCTATTCTGCTTCAGTGTAACATGTTTGATTACTTTATTTAGTAATCAAATTTGTGGGCACAGAATTGTTCATGATATTCTTTTATTACCCTTTAATACCCATGGAGTCAATAGTGATTGCCTCACTTTTATTTCCGACGTTGGTGATATGTGCCTTCTTTTTTCTTAGTTACCCTGGCTAAACGGTTATAAATTTTATTGATCCTCTAAGGAGCCAAATTTTGGTTTTTTGTTTTTTTATTTTAAATTTCATTAGTTTCAGTTATAATTTTTATTGCTTATTTTTATCTGCTTTAAGTTTATATTGTTCTTTTTTTACTAATTTCATGAGGTGAAAGCTTACAAATTGAGTTTAGAGCTCTCTCCTTTCCTAATATACGATATGTCTACAAAGCTATGAATTTCCCTCTAAGCACTGCTCTTGCTGTGTAGTTTTTATAAGTTATACTTTTTATTTATTTCAAAATATTTTTAATTTCTCTTGAAACCTCTTTTTTGACCCACGTATTATTTAGAAGTCTATGGCTTAATCACCAAATATTTTGAGGGGGTTTTTTCAGATGCTTTTCTGTTATTGATTCCTTATTTAATTTCACTGTGGTCTGAGAGCACATTCGTATTGCTACACTTTTAAACTTTTTAAGGTGTAATTATGACCAAGAATTTGGTCTACCTTGTGACTACTTATGTGAGCTTGGAAAAAAAATATGTGCTCTGCTATTATCAGTGAAGTATTCTACAAGTGTCCATAACAGTCATCAATGGTGTTGTTTGGTTCAACTATATAGTTACTGCTTCTCTGCCTTCAGAATGGTTAATTATGGACATAGGAGTTTTGAATTTTCCTGCAAAAAGAGCAAATTTGTCTACTTTTACATTTCCATGTCTCCTTCCTCATGTATTTCGGCACTCTGCTGTTAGGCATGTACACATTAAGGAGTGTTAGGTTTCCTTGGAGAATTAACCCCTGAATCACTGCATAATGCCCTCTTAGCTCCAGACAGTTCCCCTTGTTTTGATACCTGCTTCATCTGAAAGCAGCATAGCAACTCCGGCTCCATTTTCACTTGTGTTTGCGTGGGGTGTCTTTCTCCATCACTCTAACAGATCGTCGGTTCTTGTTTTTTTTTTTAATTTACTGTATCAGTCACTGTGTTTAATTGCTGTGTTTAGATAATCCACATTCAAAGAGATTACTGATACAGTTGGAATAATATCTACCATCTTTGTCATTGTCTTTTAAAAAGTATTTGTCTATTAATTTTTTGAGAGTGGGGAAGGGAGGGAGAGACAGGGAGAAACATCGACCAGTTGCCTCTCCATAGTTACCCCTAGCCCAGACACTTGCCTTGATGAGAATCGAACCAGCGACCTTTCACACTGCAGGACAATGCCCAACCAACTGAGCCACACCGGTCAGGACTCATTGTTTTTTATTTACTGCATTTGTTCCTTGTCTTTTGTGTGTGTGTTTTCTTCCTTTCTGCCTTCTCTGGTGTTAACTGAGCATTTTATATGTTTCCAGAACTTGTCCTCTGTTAGCAGATAAATTGTACTTAAAAAAATTTTTTTTTGAGTGGTTTCTTTAACATTTGCTGTATACATTCACAGCAAATCTAAGTCCACATTCAAGTAATGCTGTGTAGTGCCTCATGGGTAGTTCAGGTATCTTTTAACAGAGTATTTTCATTTCCTCATTTTAGGTTGGTGGGGTTTTTCATTTAGTATTTTAAATATTTTAATGTACTCTTTTCTCGTTTACATTGTTTCTCAAGAGACGTTCCATGTAATTCTTACTCTTTTCCCTCCATAGATGAGAGTTCTTTAATCTCCTGTGGCTTGTTTCAAGAAGTTCTTCTTTGTTATTGATTTTCTGTAGTTTAAATATGATATGCCTAGATGTAGACTTTTATTATTCATACTGCTTAGTATGCTGTGAGCTTCCTGGGTTTGTGGTTTGGTGAATATCATGAATTTTGGAAAATTCTTATGTGTTATTACCTCCAATCCTCCAATGTTTTTTGTGCTCCTTTTTTTCTTTCTTTCAGTTTCTTATGTGAAAATACCTGAAAGAAAAAATACTTTTTGTAATTACCCCATAGTTTTTGGTGATTTTTTTCTTTTTCTTTTTCTCTTTTCAGTTTAAAAATTTCTTTTGACTTATTTTCATGTTTACTCACTCACCTGGACTGAGTCCAGCCCACCAATGAGTCCATCAAGGGCATTCTTCATTCGTTACAGCGGGTTTTATTTCTAGCATTTCATTCTGATTTTTTCCTTAGAACTTCCATCTCCCTACTTACATCGCCCATGTGGTTCTGCATGTTGTTCACTTTTTCCATTGCAGCCCTTCGTGTATTAAACATACTTATATTTAATTCCCAGCCTGATCATTTCAAAATCTCTGCCACACCTGAGTCTTGTTCTGCCATTTGCTTTATCTCTTCAGACTGTGTTTTTCACCTTTTCACAAGAGCCAGACACGATGGATTGAGGAATTTGAACTGCAGTAAATAGAGCATTGGCGTGCGGTTCTGTGTTTGTGTGGCTAGGAGTGAGGCTGTGTGTCCGGTTTGCTGTAGCTGCTGGTGTCATAGCTTCAGTTTCCTCTATGTCCTTGATTCTGTCTCCCGTGTCTCTGCATTGCCCTAGAAGCGCCTTCTTAAATAGAGTTTGTGTTTTGCAGTTCTCTCTGTTGTCAAGTGAGGTTATTGTGCTGGAGTCTGTTGATGTGGTAGTGAGACATTATCGATGGAAAGTATTCTATAGTCTTATGTTTAAATCTCAGGGTTTCCTAGTATGACTAGTCATTGGTATTTGCCCTTCAGACGAGTGTCTTATCATTTATTTCTCTCTCTCCTCTGTGAGCAAGTAAGTCCAGAAGCGGCTGAATGATCTAATCACCCTTCACCCTAGATCAGGGAAGACTCCAGTAAAGCGATTTTCCTTGAGGGCAGGCTATTGTTAAGAGAACAGACAGCTCTTCATCTATTTTAAATGCTTGCTTTCCTCTGGATATATTTCAAAACCATTCCTTATCCCCTGCCCAAGGCAGACATAGATTCTTTTCTGATCCTTCGCTGTGAGAACCCCTACTACTCACAAAGGTACAGAGGGCTCCCCGACCCTGGGCCCCCAGAGTCCTTAACACTCAAGCTTTGCCTCTAGCAAGTAGCCAATTATTAGTTCAATGGTCCGGGTAAGCTGTGGCTGTCTGTACTCACGCCTGTCTCTAGTTTTCAGAGTGGAGGTTGTTCTATGACCTCAGTTCTTTGATGGATGGAAGAAGAGTTTTGATTAGCTCTGTGTGTGTGTGTGTGTGTGTGTGTGTGTGTGTGTGTAAATGATGGCTTCCAACTCTAGATTCGAAGCATAAACCAGAAGTTTCTTCCCATAGAATAGAGACTTCCTATTGGTTTGTGATGTTAAGTGCTTATGATCAGCGTTCACACTCTGGGCGCTGGGGTGCAGCCACACCTCAGCATGCCTTCTGAAACTTTTTAAGTGGATTTTTAAGAAGTATTATTGGTATGTTTTAATGTTGTGTTTTGTTAGATAGGAGTTCAAGAAATTGACGATGAAGGAAGCTTAAAAACGTAAATTTACCCACCATTTTTTAATCTTTTTTTTTTTTTGGTTTGTGTTAGTTGGTTCTGACCAAGCACCAGAATGACTTTAAGATAGAGCTGAAGCACCTGGAGGACGACCTCCTCCTGCGCCTCTCTGCCGCAGAGGGGAGCTTTCTGGATGACACCAAGCTGGTAGAGAGACTGGAGACCACAAAGGCAACCGCCGCAGAGATAGAGCATAAGGTAGGAACAGGCAGAGGCCACCAGGGGGGTCGTCTCTCTGTGCTCTCTGCGGATACATGCTGGGGTGAAAGTGTGATTGAATTTGGCGATTTCTCCAAGAGGGCTGAGTTATCGTGGAATTCAGGTCATCTAATGAACTGCCCTGAAAAATGGTGGTGGGGGGATTCAGAATGGAGAGAGAGCTGAGCTTGTGCTTCTCCTGATTCAACAGTGACCCAGTCATTCATTCAGACTAGATTGTCACGCTGTTACTTGTTCTGTGTGACCGCATTTGAAGTAAACTGAGGCCTGCTGGCTAATAGGGTCCAAAGTCTAAAACGACTGAACTGACATCATCCAGGGTCTCCACAGGTTTCCTAGTCTGTCGTGCATTTTAGAGAAATCCTTAGAGCCGAGGCTTCGTTTGCAGGCCTCCGGTGCTGCTGGGAGGCTGAGGGAGAAATGGTCCCCTGCTGTCTCAAATGCATTATTCACACTGGGAAAATGGCACTTCCTAAAAGCCAGCATGATTTCTCATTGAGTAAACGTCCTGCTGAACGTCCAGCACGTGTCCCAATATGCCTCAGGCGCGATGTGCACTTCGGGAGTAACCAAGTAACCCTTAAACTCCTATTGCTGCGGAACAAGAGGAAGAAGCCTTATTTGCCTTCTGGCCTATCCTCATTACTAAGGAATCTCTTAATTACCCAGCGGAGGCTGTGTCTCCATTCCTCCAATAGATTTGTCTTAATTTAAGCAAGGGAACGGAATCCCAAATTACTCCCTTTTTTACATAAAAGGAATTCTAGGTGGCTCCTGAGATGGTAAAGATTAGAGCAATTAGGTAAATTAGGCCTTAGCTTTCAAATTAACTTCTAATTATTTCTTAAAATGTCTCTTCCTGTCTTCTTAATATATTGCCATATAGGGACCTCCCAGTCTGCTCTACAGTTTCCTTACTTCCTTTTATACACAAATATGATGCATTGAGTCTATTAAAATGTTTGGGGAAATACTGCATCGTATAAAGCTATATGACCAGCAATAGTCCTAGATAAAGGCAATATATATTTGAGCCTTCAATACAAATGAACATATTGGCTGATAGTTTCTTTTAATTATCTCTGGGAATGCACCCAGAGGCTAGTACATAAAGACGAACCAAATGGAAATAGATGAGCATATGGATGATCTGGTGCAAAGTCAAAGTTAGACTGTCACGTGAGTCTTCACGTGAAGGCTTTTCAGTAGTGAGCACGGCTATTAGATACATTATTGACCTTGGCTGCTTTTGTATACCTAGTTGCCCAATAAAGTTATTGGCACTGAACTGACCCAGCAGACTTTTAAGAGCTATCCCTGGGAGGTGATATAGCTGGGTTATTAACCCCTGATGGAGAGAGGGGAAACAGAAAGGTGACATTACTCAGAATAAATTCTGTAGTGCCCTAAACAGTCAGGTTTGTTTAATCTGCAGTCATGAGATGGCTGAAGTTACATTCCTTCTCACTGGACACTCGTATGAAAAAAAAATATTTTAAATTTTTATTTTAAATATTCGAATACTCATAAGAAATATAAAGTTAAAATTGTTTTCAATATGAATTTAATACATTTGAACAGCTCAAGAGCATGGATGCCGTGTGTTGTTTATCTTGATACTAGTAACCTCTCATTTCAGAAATGCGCCTTCCGTCACTTGGGGAAGTAGAGAGAACGTGCGTAGTTAGGTTACTGGTGTGGTTTGGTTCCACCGCAGGTGATCGAAGCCAAAGACAACGAAGAGAAAATCAACGAGGCCCGAGAGCGTTACAGACCGGTGGCGGCGAGAGCCTCTCTTCTTTATTTTGTCATTAACGACCTCAGAAAAGTCAACCCCATCTACCAGTTCTCTTTGAAGGTAATGCCGAGTAGGCCAAGAAAAAATAGCACGCTTCAGGACTTCAACTTGTTGCTGGAAGTTTAGAATTTATTTTTAAGCCATGAGGGCACCCAGAAAGGGGTCATGCGGATCTAGCCAGCAAAAACAAAGAACACCAAGACATCCTCATTCTCTTAACGTTCATTTGAAGTTTTCTATGAGGCTTTGAGGTAAACTGTGAACATTATAACACATTTGGTTTTGTTCTAAAACAGAATGTTGAGGAGTTTATTATATATAAATAAGGGTATTCTCCTGGAGGCTCCTATACTTTCTTTCTGAAACTGTAGGTGTCTTATGAAGAGATTGCCCATGTTATTTTGGTGCTGGGGGACAAAGAATGGGAACAGCTATTTATGAAGCTACTAGTACATGCAAGGTACTTTCATGCTTTAGTTCATTCTTACATCTGAAACATCTCAGTGTAGTATATTACTCTACCCCTATTTAAAAAAAGGAAATCAATACTTTCAGATTTTAAATAAATTGCTCAGGACTGCACTTTTCATAATTAAAGAGCCAGGATTTGAACCCGTGATTTGAAAGCCAGTGCTCCATGTTGCACCACTCTGCCTCTGGCAGGGTTCATTCATTCTGTCGGTCAGTTTTTAAACAAACAGCCATTGAGATCAGTCATCGTGCCAGACGTGGTGCTGGTCACTGAATAGACAGTTTTTAAAGAACAGACATGAGTGAGGATATATGGGGGTCAGTGTGTGTGTGTGTGTGTGTGTGTGTGCGCGCATGTGTGTGTAAAAGTGGTAAGTGCAGTGGGGAGGGAATCATAGGAATGGTGGGGCCGTTTTAACTGGGTGTTCAGGGAGGGATACACAGGGTGTAGCCATGTAAAGAGTGTTCGGAGAATACACAAGGGTGTGTGAGACGTGAAGGAGTCAGGGATCCAGGCAGCGAATGAATCTGTGTGGCTGGAGCGTAATGAGTGAGAGAGGAGATGGCAAGCCAGAGTCGAGAGAGGTGAGACGGTCTAGGTCACCTGAGGCCTCCTAGTCCCTGTTGGGGATTTTGGATTCTGGCCTGGGAGCAAAGAGAAGCCATTAAAAGGTTTTAGGTGGATGACTGCTATGACAAAAGACTCTGATAGAAATGAATGGACTCATGATATGATTTGAAGCTAGAATAATCAGCTCTTGGAGATGGATTGGATATGGGCAATTGTTGGGAACTGCCCTGCCTGGTTTCAGAAGCCGTAACCCCCTTTGGCTAAGGCTGAGTGAAAAGGCCTTAGGGACAGAAGCCGCTAAGGAGACAAAGACTTATTCCCTCCCACATCCCCCTGCTCAGCCCTGGCGGATGACTGGTTATCCAATGACGGGTAAGATTCCTCAAGGAAGGAACAACCTTAGACAGGCATAGTCGTAAAGGGACCACCAGGGAAGGACTTACGGGACTGCAGAAAAGGGGTGATGGACCTTCACCCCTCAGCTTTGTGTAGCCTGAGTCCTCATTCCACTGCAGGAAGTCTCCTACTGTCTTGGCTACTTCGTTTCCCTGGCCTGACTCAAGCCTGAAAGAATGCCAGATAAGGGGGATCGCAGCCCTGTAATACTACAGGTGGTTCCTGGGACAGTCAGGCCTGAAGAAGAGTGCATGAAGTCCTGTGAGTCCTGCTAAGAATACCCTTAGGTTCATCTGGATTAGCTGTTTAGGCTTCAAGCATAGAATGGGTTTGTTTCCCAAAGTTGTATGGCCCTTTGGCATCACTCTGTCTGTCAGACCCTGACTCAGAATGAGCCCTTCTAGTTCTTTGAATGTTATCTATTTACCATACCGCCCTTCCTTGATCATTACTGCCTGACACTGATGGATGAGCTTTAAGTATATGCCCTGTATTCCTAGGCAACCTAAACCCAATGAAATCCCAGGGAAAGAGGTGCTGGAGGCTCTTTTCCTCTGAGGGATCAGCCTGCCTTTTCTCCCCAGGCAGATCGTGTTTTGGCAGTCGTATTTCATCTGTGACACTGGGGGACACTGTGGGACAGGGTTCCCCTCAGGCAATAAAGAAGAGGAAGAGAGTCAAGAGAAACTAGTGGGTTCTAGTAGAATGGAAGGGCGAACCAGGCAATTGGATTTTGGAACAGCCACAGAGCATAGGAGAATAATAAAACTAGTATCACTCAAATACCAGAACTAAACGAAGGCATTAGGAGGAAAGGAAACTGCAGAGCAGCCCCCTTCATGAGCCTTGTTGCAAAACTACTCAAGAAGAGGTTGGCAAATTGAATCAAGCCACATATAAAAAGCACAATATAGTATGCCCAGGTGGAATTTGTGCTGGGAATGCACATTGATTAAACACTCGAAGATCACACAATATCACTCTTCATATTACTAGAATAAAAGACAAAACCTGTATGATCATTTCAATGGATGCAGATAAAGAAGTTGGCAAATTTTAACACTTGGTTAAAAAAAAGAAAAATAAAAAACCAACTCTGAGCAAACTAGGACTAGATGGTAACCTCTCAGTATAACGAAAGTCATCTACAAAACCCACAGCTAACAGTGTAAACTCAATGGTGAAACACTGAATGCTTTCCACTAAGATCAGAACAAGACAAGGAAATCTTCTCTCAACACTTCTATTCAGTGCTGCACAGGAGGTTATAGCCAATACAATAGCACAATAAAAGGCACAGAGATTTAAGAAGAAAAACTTTTCCCCCCCACAGATGGCCTGATTGCATATGTACAAGATCATAAGAAATCTAAAAAACAAAACAAAAACAAAACAAACAAACAAAAAACCCCTACTAGGGCTAAGAAGTGAGTTCTTAGCAAGATTGTAGGGTGTAAAGTCAATATTGAAAAATGTGTTGCATTTCTATATATGAGGAGCAAGGAAAATAATAACTCAATATTATTTATAAAAGCTTTCAAAACCATGCCATTTTTAGGGATAACTTTAACAAAACAAACTCAAGATCTGCATACTAAAAGCAGTAAAACGCTCTTGAGAAATATTTCAAACACTTAAGTAAATGGAGAGGGAGAGAGAGCCCGATTTTGGTTTGGGGCACTCAGCATCATGAAGATGTCACATCTCTTCAGACTGATGTGTAGATTCAATGCAGTCTCAATCGAAATCCCAGAATGCTTTTTTTTTTAGAAATTGGTAAGCTGATTCTAAAATTTGTGCAGAAATGCAAAGGATTTGAAATAACTGAACAATTTTGAGAAAGAACCACAAATATGGAAACAAAATACATGTCAGGACTTACAGACCTGTACTCACTGGCCTAGAGAAAAGTACATAAATTAATGGAACAGAACAGAGAGTCCAGAAGTAGACCCTTAAGCACGCGGTCAGCCGACTTCCTCGTGAAGCCAAGACACTTCAGGGAGGGAGGGATAATATTTTTGCAACAAATGGTACTGAGACACCTGAATGTCCACATGGAATAAAATGAAACTCAATCCTAATTTTGTATGTCACACTATATACAAAATTAAGTCAAAATGAATATGCTAAGCTATAAAATTTCCAGGAAAAAATAAGAGAAAAATCCTTGAGCTTTGGCTTAGGCCAAGATTTCGTAGCATACAATAGAAAGAAAAAAAAATTGATAAATGGAAACTTACCAAGTTAAAAAATTCATGGTCTTCTAAAGACATTATTAAGAAAATGAAAAGGTAAGCCACAGATGAGTAAAAACTATCACCAATAAATATATATATAACAGAATTTATCTCAGAATATATTAAAATGTGTGCAGCTCAATAATAAGACAAACACCGCAATTTTAAAAATATATGAAAAATTTGAAGACACGTCACATAGTAAGACGTAAGAGTTGCCCCTAGCACATGTTTAAAATGCCCCACAGTGATGAGAGAAATGGAAAGAGGATGGCACAGTTTCATTGGCTAAAGAGGAGATATGGGTAGATTTTATGGAATGGCATTAATAATAATAATAGTAGTGGCAGCAAATATTTAATGAGCACTTACCTACCACGGACCAGGAACGACTCTTAGAGCTCATATAATCCTCATAAAAATCCTGTCCTGTTGTCTCTCCCTGGAGAGGACAGTTCGGCCGTCTGTACCCTGCGTCTCTGGCCGGCTGGACTCCCGGCCCCAGTTTCCCTTTAACAGCCACTTTGCATTGCCCAGGCTTTCAAGGCGCTCTTCCACAGAGCTATCGAGCAGGCGGACAAGGTGGAGGACACGCAGGGGCGCATCTCGGTGCTCATGGAGAGCATAACCCACGCCACCTTCCTCTACGCCAGCCAGGCACTCTTTGAGAAAGACAAGCTCACCTTCCTGACCGAGATGGCTTTTCAGGTGAGCCAGCCAGTCCCTGGAGAGCATCCCCAGAACCAAAGTCTCCCGTCTCTGTTCCCCAGAACCAAAGTCTCCCGTCTCTGTTTACTATGTACTTTCCTTCTGCTGAAGGGGAGCATAGACACCTTATTTCGGGAGCCCTTGGTGACACGAGGAGAGCTTGAGTTTCCCAGGGGGGAACCTGGGCATATGACAGCCCGCCGGTCAGTCTCGGAGCTTTGGTTTGGGTGGGGAGGCCCTTGAAGCCATACGTCAGCTGTCACCATGAAGAACAAGTTGACGAGCCATTCCCCTCACCTTTTCGGGTTCTGTGCAGAACTTCTCAGGGGCTGCCAAGGGGATTCTCCGAGATCAGAATTGCAAATCCAGCTGTGAGGGGCTCTGGAAGCCCCTTAGAAAGGTGATGAGTAAGTCAAAGGAGCTCGGGGTTTCACACTCCCACCTCCAGTGAGACCCGCTCCCCCTCACTCTTTTTATATGGACGTCTGCAAAAGACTCTGTTTGAGCAAAGTGACCATGATAAGCAAAAGACACTGAGGATCACGTTCCTAGAGGAAATAAGTGGGCTCTCCCTTTGTTAGTTCACATTTACTATGTGACGTTTTTTGTCAGTCCAAATTTTAATGATGTCTTCTCTCTTTGTATTCTCTCAAATATCTCCCACAAAGAAGGCATTTTATAAATACTTTCCATTAATATGATAAACCATTCATATTTTTGGTATTCATATATTCCTTTTGGTTATATGAAAATATATAAAAAATATAAAAACAATTATGGATGTAGACATTTTATAATGTATGTGATAAATAGGAGCAAAGCATTATAAAACAAAATTATAATCAAGATATAATCAATGTATAACATTGTATTAGTCCAAGATGGACAATCCAATTATTCAATATGTATATATTGTATATGTATATATTGGGTTGGACAAGAGTCCATTAAGTTTTTTCTGTAAAATATAAGACACATTTTTCATTTTCACCAATAACTTTATTGATTTGGATATTTTGAGCATGTCAGCTGTCTCCCTTGTGGTAAAACGTTGATTATTCTCAATTAATGTCTTGATTTGCTCGCTGTCAACTTCAACTGGTCTATCCGACTGTGGAGCATCGTCCAGAGACAAATCTCCATCACGAAACTTCCCAAACCACTTGACACGTTCACTCAGTCACAGCATGTGCTCCATACACTGCACAAACCTTTTCTTTTGTGTTTCTGTTGTGTTTTTACCTCTCTTGAAATAATAAAGCATACTTAATATGCATAAAATGTTGCATACTTTCTTCCATCTTCAATATTAAAATGGCTACACAAAAATTCACCAATTTTGTTAAGTTTTTTTTAAATGCACAGTGATATGACAGCTGTCACAACACAATGTAACAAAATTGTTTCAAATGACGTTAAAGACAACTGAGTGCTACTAGATCCATTGCATGGAAAAAACAAACAAACTTTTTGGCCAACCCAATATTATGAAATGGTTACCATAATAAATTTACTTAACATTCATCACCTCACATAGTTACAATTATTTTATGATAAGAACTTGTAAGATTTGCTCTCTCAGTAACTTTCAAAAGTACAACACATTATCATTAACTATACTTACCATGCTGCACATGGCCTCATCAGCACTTACTAATATTACACCTGGAAGTTTATGCCTTTGACCACTTTTACGATTTCATGCCCACCCCCACCCCGCCTCCTGCATCTGGTAACCACCAATGTGTCCTCTCTGTAAGTTCAGTCTTGTAGATTCCACATACATGAGGGATTATACAGTATTTGTCTTTTTCCCGCTGACTCACTTCATTGAGTATAATTCTCTCAAGGGCACTAATGGCAGGATTTCCTTTTCTGTGGCTGAATACTATCTCATTGTATATGTGCCACATCTTCTTTATTCCTTCGTCCATCGATGGCCACTTAGGCTGCTTCCGTGTGTTGGCTATTGTAAGTGATGTGGCCGTGAACATGGGTGTACAGGCAGCTTTTTGAGATAGTGATTGCATTTCCTTTGAGTGTATGCCCAGAAGTGGGGTTGCTGAATCATACGGTGGTTCTGCTTATTTTTTGAGGAGCCACCATACTCTTTTCCATCGTGATTGCACCAATTTATATTCCCACCAACAGTGCAAAAATGTTGCCTATTCTCCGCCTCTTCACCAGCATTTTTCCTCTCTTGTTTTTTGCCAATAGCCATCCTAACAGGTGTGAGGTGGTATCTCACTGTGGTTTTGATCTCCATTTTCCCTGATGATGAGTGATATTGAGAAGTTTATTATGTACCTGTCGGCCATTTGTATGTCCACTTTGGAAAAAATGTCTAGGCAGTTTTTCTGCCGTTTTTTAAATCAGATTTTTTTTTGCTGAAATTTTTGCATTGATGCATATAGCTCACAAACAGTAATGGACCAGAAGTGATAACACATGACATGTGTATCTATTTAAAACTTCCCCTTGGAAGCCAGGGATAAATTACAATCTCTCTCAAATCCTGACAATCCATGCTTAGCACAGCTTCATATTGTCTGTGGACAATTTGTTGTTTGTTGAAAGAAATTAAACTGGATTAAGAATTAATTTTCCAATAAAATAAAATATTTTCATGTATGTTACCACCCATATTACATTTTGAAAATATCTAGAATTTTAAAATAGTCTAAAACTCAAGCATTTTACCTGTTTAACTTTGTAAGTTTTTTATGTGGAAATTAGGAATATTTCATTTGTGTCCCCCCCCAAAAAATATTCTATGGTCTTCTTATCAATTCTGTAATCAGAATGTCTAAAGTTTGTTCCATTATGTGATTCTCATATTATCTTGGATGTAACTCCTACACCAGGACTAACTCATAGTACTAGCTCTGCTTTCTGTTTAGTAACTCAGTCCATTGTCATCTCAGGCTTTTTCCACTTGTATAGCAAATTTTAGGACAAGTTTGATGTAATAGCAGAAGACTAAATATGAAAGCATATTTCAAATATGTTGATAATAGGCATAATATTGGAATAAATCAGGCTTCATAATTAGTTGCTATTAGATTTCTGATGCAATCAGGGGCATAACTTTTCCCTTATTTTAACTATAGAATGGATATATGTCCGTTCTAAATGGAATTTTCAGAACACTCAGTTCTGCCTAGTTAATCATATCTACTGTGCCATGACTGCTTCCTGTGTCGTGATTTTGATGTATAAACGAAATGACTGTCTTCAATTTTGTGTACTCTCAAGATTTTGTTGAGAAAGAAAGAGATAGACCCTGTAGAATTGGATTTCCTGCTCCGATTCACAATTGAACACACGTACCTGAGTCCCGTCGACTTCCTAACCACTCAGTCATGGAGTGCAATTAAGGTATGTTAGGAACATAGCTTTTCAACTTCTAAATCTTATTTCAGTCTCAGTTCTCTCAAACATAGAAATGTAGTTTTAAAAATTGAAATGATATATGAGGTCTGTCTGAGAAAATGTCCAGCCGTTGTTAATACAACGAGAATGATTTGCGCAATATCAATTTAACCTGGCAGCCAAGGAGAGTGGACTGGAATGCACATGTGTGAACAATGATGACTTCACTGTACTAGTCAGTGGGGGCAGTAGACACTGTTGAGTGACATGTGTACTGTGTGGCTGTCACATTCAGAATGACTGAGCAAGTAAAGTAATGAATCTGCATCAAATTTTGCATTAAACATTCCTCTGTGGAAACTATTCAATAATCCAGAAGGCCATAACTATGGTGATGGGCAGCTTCATCATGACATCACACATGCTCATGCATCATGTCTTGTGCAGAGGTTTATGGCAAAACATTAAATCACCCAGGTGATTCAGCACTCCTACATCCGAGATTTGGAGCCCTGCAACCTCTAGCTTTTCCCAAAACTAAAATCACCTTTGAAAGGGAAGAGATTACAGACCATCAATGAGATTCAAGAAAGTATGATGAGGTAGCTAATGGCGACTGGGAGAACTGTATGAGGTCCCAAGGTGCCTACTTTGAAGGGAACTGAGGTGTTGTCCTATGTACAATGTTTCTTGTACATTGTATCTTCCTCAATAAATGTTTCTGTTTTTCATAGTACATGGATGGATACCTTCTAGACAAACCTCATATGGAATTTCAGTTGTAGAAATATGCTGTATAATGTAATGTTTTTTAATTGATCTTTATTACTAAATTGACTAAATTTTTTGCTCTACTTTTTTAAAATTTATTTTTCAATTATAATTGGTCACACAATAGTATATTTGTTTCAGGTATACAACTGTTTGATTTCTTACTTGAAAGTAAAGGAACTTCTGACCTATGTAATGGGCAGAAAAGTTGTTAATGAATATGTATAGTGTTCAGGACCTTTGAAAAGAAGTCGAGGAATATAAATAAACATTATTTGGATTTGTCTGAATCTAGTTTCTTTATTATTGTTTATTCTAATGCTCTGGAACTCTTTAAAGATACTCATCATAATGTTAAGCTTTACCCCTCTCTTTTTTTCTAAGAAGGAACCATTTCCATGCATTGAAAATAACTATTTTATCCCTTATTTTATAGTATATTTAGATTTTTATTTAAAAAAATATAATTTTTAATTAGAATTTACTTAAATTATACTTTAGAATTATAAATTCAATTGTGTATCAGTCAGGGCCTCAGCAAAAAACAGATGGGGTTTTCAAAGAGGAGATTTAAAAAAAGTTTAACAGAGAGTAGAGAATATTTTCATAGTAATGGAAGAAGAACAAGGGAATCAATGCAAGGATGCAGATAGAAAAAGGGAGGAAAAGGAGCCATTACTAAATGACTGAGAAATAAAGTTCTGGGAGAAAGCCAACCTGCAGGCGCTGCGGCATGCGGTAGGGGAACACGCCAAATTGTGTCACAAGAGGGGCCGAGCTGGGGGAGAAATAGCCTGACCTCTCTCTCCCCAGCCCCCTAGCCTCTTGTCATTGCCTCCTATTGGACAGACCCAACCAGGCGAGAGAACCAGGGAGCTCAGTCCAAGTGGTTCTTTGAGATCACCTCTCAGCAGGGCAGAGAAGGGTGCAGAGTAATCCAGAGAGGAATAAACACTGTCCGGCACAACTCGCTTATATAGGATCTGATGCGCTCACAAGTCTTTATCGCAGATGCCCGAGATTAACTATTCCTATCTGTCCCCTGTTCTGTCGCAGGCAATAGCCCTTATGGAAGAATTTCGAGGCATAGACCGAGATGTGGAAGGATCTGCCAAGCAGTGGAGGAAGTGGGTAGAATCCGAGTGTCCTGAAAAAGAAAAGTTACCGCAAGAATGGAAGAAGAAAAGTTTAATACAGAAGCTGATTATTTTGAGAGCACTGCGCCCTGACAGGATGACATACGCTCTCAGGTGGGACAGTCGGCGTCTTTGGAAATGTGGGTTCACCTGGAGGAAACTTAGTCTTAGGGGCCAAGAGGAGCTGCTGGAGGCATTTATGGTCCATGCTGGTGAGAAGTGATTCTGCTGAAGGGTGGGTATTGTACTCAATGTTGTTGTTAAATTTTGCTGAAGACGTTCAGGACATCCTCCCTGAAAACATGGATTCTGAAATCTGCGGGGGACACAGGGAGCCAATGGAAATACTTCAGGAAGAGAGAGTTCAGAGGCCAGGAACATGCATTATCCAAGTGTTCATTTCCATCGTCTTTATCCCTGCGTGGCATTTTGGCTCCAGAGATTTTACATGTCAAACCAAAACGAATTCCTTTCGTGGAGACACTCATAGTCCCGTAACTTTGCAACCAGCTCAATTTAAAAGCAGGAAGCCCCGTTTGCCTCTTGGTTCACGTGTCCTTTTTCTTGGCCCTTTTAGCTTCCAAATGGTAATAGGCTGCTTAATTCACACAAGTCGTGTTCTAATGTGAATTCACTAACCGAAGAGTTCGCAGCTTCCTCCCCTAGGGCGCTCCCCTTTCTTGAGTAGTATTCACGTGCCTCAGTTTTTTTTCCTTTGCTTTGTCTAGTTTCAGCCAATTTTCCCTTTGCAGCCGCCTCTGCTGAACCTGACTTTATGAGTTAATTCTGCTTAGTACAACTTACTCTCTGCTAAATCTGGTGCTGCTGGATCCCTGCTTAATTGAGCTTCCCTATGTTAGAAACACCCCAAAAGCATCTGTATATTCGTGATAAGCCCAGCAGGCTGGAAAATTGCACTGTGGCAAATCTAATGAACTGTTAATAAGTAATGGGGGGTCTGGCAGGGGGTTGCGGGGACACAAAGCCTTAGGCAGGCGGCTGATGGTACTGGAGCAGGAGTCTCAGTAGCCTACCCTAAGTGGAATGTAGGCTTCTGATTTACTTCGAAAGCAGAGAAGGATCTCACCAACACAACTGCATAAATCTGGTTGGATTCATCTTGTCATTCTAAGAAAACGTCGCATGTGAAAACACGTGCTTTGCTTTCCTCCTGTGCCTGTGGTTTAAGCCGATCCAAGCTGCGACACGCTGCATGTCCGAAGCAAGCGCTGATCATGCCTTTTGCATTGTTGTTTCTCACAGGAATTTCGTGGAGGAGAAACTGGGTGCAAAGTATGTGGAGCGGACCAGGCTGGACTTAGTTAAAGCCCTGGAAGAGAGCAGCCCCGCCACGCCCGTGTTCTTCATCCTGTCTCCGGGGGTGGATGCCCTCAAAGACCTCGAGGCCCTGGGTGAGCGGCCAGGAGGGAGGTCTGCTGGCTCGCCCTCCCGCCTCCCTCCCAAGGCCCACCCACCCTTCCTTGCAGTTTACAGTTACCTTCGTTTCTTTTATTTTTTTTCCCCATTTGTTGGAGACTGAGTGTATGGAAAATGTTAGACTAATAATACTGTACCGTCTGAAGAAATGTTGAAATGGCACATTCCTCTGGTTGGCATAATGCACGTTCCTTTTATACTGTTTCCACCTTTTGACTGTATGAGGGCCAGAGGGCAATTTTCTCCATGCTCGTGTAATCTTGTGCCTCCTGTGACTAAATAATGGTCATTAGAGCAGGTCTATTCGATTGTGCAAGGCACTGTCGCTTTGTGCTTTGGATTACTATTCCCCGAGGCCCGTGCTGAGAGCACCAGGTTAATAGAGCTGTGACCCGACTGTGCTCAATTCAAGTGCGGCCTCGCAAGGTGAGAGGCTCCTGCATTTTCCCAATGAGCCGATCCCTTCAAAAAAAAAAAAAAACGATGTGATATCTACCACATGTTGCTCCTTTTTATGAGGGAAATGCTTTGCGACTCCTGCAAGAGTTTATAAAGCTCAGTAACAATGCTTGCCATCTATCAAAATGTCAAAGGCGTCATTACGGCAAAACCAGAGGACCTGATTTTCCTCCCGCCTCGCTAATGCTTGCAAGGAGGCAGCTCTGGAGAGCTCAAAATGCTGCTTGTTGAAACGACAGAGGTGTGGTTTGGGTTGTGCAGGAGAGTGACCTAGAAGGTAGAGAGGGGACCGCAGATGGACATCGGGCCACAGAGTTCCACACTGTTCTCACCTCTCCCCGATTCACTTTTCCTCTCACCCTGTTGTATCGCCCCACAGGCAAAAGACTTGGGTTTACCATTGACTCGGGAAAATTCCACAACGTGTCTTTAGGACAAGGTCAGGAGACAGTGGCAGAAAGGGCACTGGAGAAGGCTTCCAACGGAGGACACTGGGTCATACTCCAAGTGAGTATTACGTTTTCATGGACATCACGGAGTGCGGACACAGGGGGCTGCCCAGCCCGTCCTTGCACATGACTCCTGGTGATCTGGAGAGTCTGACAGACTTTGTCGGCTTTAGTGACAGCTCCCAGGGTGGCTAGGGGCTCTGCTGACAAGGATAGTTGCCATCTTTTGAGGGATTTCCTAGGCATTGTGCTCTAAAATTAAAAATACTAGCGGGATCCCTATCATTCTCCTGACTTAGAGATCTCTGAAACACTCCGGTAGCGCTTGCAGACAAGCAGGCTTGTATAGAAGCCAGCACTGCGGCCATGCTTGCTCTCATTTGCACCTTGCTTTAAAGGTTATGTATTATCTGCTACAGCTCTGCCCTAACTAGTTACATAGCGTTCTCTTTGTTTGTAAATGAAGAAGATTAAGATAGGCAACCTGATGTATCCGTTTTCAGGCTAGCATTATCTGGGTCCAAGAGTCTATAACCCAGTGTCCCCCACATGGCTCCCTTGGCCAGGGATTGTAGCAAGAACCCGGCAACTGATGGAACCCAGCTCAGCTTTAGGGGCACCTGGGAGCCAGGCTGCCGGACTCCTTCTGCAGGAGGACATGCCAGCTATCTCAGCAGGCCTGCGCATGGCCATTGGATCTGCTCGCTGTACCCGTCTCCCACAGGTTCTCACGCATGTGTCAGATGCTTTACTAGGCAACTGTCAGGTTACGTCATCTCAGCAATGCAAGATGATGTCATTCCCATCGTTCCCATTACAAAGGTGAGACGAGGGAGGCTCAGAGGGGTCTGGAGAGCTTCTGGGCCACAGAGCTGATACTTGAGTCCAGGCTTGTTTGGCAGCAAGTGACACTTTCCCACTAGCTGGCCCATGTGGCCACCTTCCTGTGGAGACATGACCTGGCCTCTTTAGTGTCTCCAGTATCCAAGGTGGATGCATTTTGCATTTCTGCTTGAAATAAATGAGCTCCCTGAAGTCTTCAAGCAGAACATAGTCTTCCAGAGAGTGCTGCCTGCTGCTCAGAGGACACCTTCTGAGGTTGCTCAGGCTGCTGTGTCCCCATCTGGGGTTCCCATAGCCAGGCAGCTGGCAGTGGAGGGTGTGTTATTTTCAGAGACGGCAGTTGTTCCTCCGACAGTTGTGTAGACACTGGGATCTTCCCTGCAAAGAAGGAGTTCTTTGAGAGTTCTCCAGCCTCCAGCTGTTCAAAATGGCAAGAACCTAAGAGGGGTAATAGCATTCAAAGTAACACGTTTCTGTTGTGTTCAGATCTGTGCAAAGCTGCCGGTGGCCTCCAAGAATGTGAGTTGTAAGTTCCACCATTTAAAAAATCTCAAAAGATATTATTTTGTGAAGTATCTGCTTTGGGAAATCTGTCCTAGACCTTTGATTTTGGTTTTTAGTGGTAAGCCAGTAACTTAGAATGTAACTTGCTATTCCTCCCCACACACAGAATAATTGGAGAGGAGAGACTACCCCAGGCCTTTGGTCATCCCAGTTCCTGGGAGATTCTAGTACCTCTCTGATTGACAGTTAAAAGAAAAGCAAGAGTTTGAAGAAAGAGACTGAAATAGGACCTTACCATATTGTTGGTAATTTACATTAACTTAAATGATCAAATGTAGAGATATGTATGCCCATAGTAATATGTTCTTAACCAAACTCTACAATGATCAAGGGCTATGATCCGATATAGTCCCTCTAGGGATATTCAGCCAGCATTTTATCAAAAGCTGACACTCTAGAGAAAACTATTACAAAGGCGCAGGCTGACAGCTATCTCATCACAGATGGTTTGTGAATTAACATAATGGGTTTTAAAAATCATTTTTCGTGGGCAAAACACGGGCGGTTTTTAATGTATGTGGATTGACTCACACTGTTGCACATGCCTTGCTGCCCTTGGGCAAACGGGCGCAAGAGTCTCGCCGGTGCCGAAGCCAGCATCCTCGAGAAGGGCCCCCAGGCGGGGCCCCCAAGTGCCCGTGTGCAGTGGTGGCTCCCTGGGAGGTTTCCCGGGCCCCTGACTCCAGTGTCACCACCTACAACATGTTTACATTTGTTTCAAGTGAACTTTTCAAGTGAGGGATTGTTGTAGTCCATAAGATAGGGAATTGGGACGTCCACAGTGGGCAAACGTAGGTTTACAGTCGTGATACAGATAATGCAATACTTAATAAATAATAGCACAAGCATTAATTCTGTGTGTTTTGCATGCTCATAACTGTAAGCTTACTTTTGCCCACACCTGTGTTTGAGCTGGCGAAACAGGTTTTATTATTGTTTTGGTCTACTGACTTGTGTGAGTGACACAATTAGGTGTGAAAAGTACTCTTGTTACAATTTAGTAGCAAGCATGTAGGAGGGGAAATTTAGGGAGAGCCCTCATCTAGTGTATAAATGTATAGTGTAGGGTTGCCCTATGCAAGTATCACAAATTGGGTGGCTTGATCAACAGAAATGTAATTTCCTACAGTTGTGAAGGCTACAAGTGCGAGATCAAGGTGTTGGCAGGGCCGGTGTATTCTGAGGTCTCTCTCCCTGGTTTGTGGGTGGCTGTCTCCTCCCTGTGTCTTCACATGGTCTTCTCTCTGTTTATGTGTCCTGATCGGCCCTTCTTATAAGGACACCGGCCGTATTGGGTTAAGGCCAACTCTCATGACTGTATTTAGCCTTACTGACCTCTTTCAAGACCCTGTTCCAACGGTAGTCACATTCAGAGGCACTGAGGGTTAGGACTTCAACACATGGATTTGGGGGGGGCATAATCCAGCTTGTGACACCTCCAATGTTCAATATTTGCCAAGGAGAAAAATAACCTCATCATAGGAACCCATGAATCGGTGTGGGTCTTTTTACAACAAAACTGTTTCAAAGAAAGACACCTGCACTTCTGTTCCCATCCCTGTTTGCCTTCTCTCTCTGTATTTTTGTAGCCATTAAAATCATAAACATTTTCCTTTGCTGGAAATGAAGACACATCCCTGGGGGTGAAGTTCCAGGCCCTGTACTGGCTTCTCAAAGCCAGGGAGCATGTGAGGTGCGCCTCACTCTTCTCTCCCAGCACCGAGCTGTACCGGGGGCTGCTTGGTATCAGAGGAGCAGATCTGTGAATCCCGAAACTGAAAATCAAAGTGGTGGTAGTGGTGATAGTGGTGACACTTTTTTCTTGTGTGATTTCTGACAGCTCTAGAATTTAAGACAAATAACATGATCAGAATACATGGAACATCTTTAAAAAGATTGGTTGCTTTCTCGTTCAGCTAGCCTTTCATCCCTCACATCCTTTTGAGTCCATAGTATGATGCATTGGAGTTTGAGTAGAGGAGGCATCCATCAGAAATAATGAAGTGTGTGATCTGGTACATTTCTGGCCTTTAGTTTTTATACTCGATTAAACAAACCCATGTAAGTCTCAGTAACTGGGTTTGAACTGTAACAAAGAAGAGGATCAGGCAACCCCATCTCGGAAGTAATGGGTGGGAGTTGGAAGCAGGTAAGTGTTGGAAGGAGATCTGGGTCTACACAGACAGCCTGTGGTGAACTGGAGCACTCACTGTTTACCGTTCAATCCTGTTTTGTTCTGTTCTCCTAACATGATAATAAAAGAACATTTAAATCACGATTCTCTGAGTTACCAACACACTGATACATTGGAAAATGTGGTAATCCTATAATTTAAGTAATATACTTGGGTTTCACGGGAATTATAAATCATACTATCTTTCAGAATGTCCATTTGGTAGCCAAGTGGCTGGGAACCTTGGAGAAACTCATTGAAAGATTCAGCCAAGGAAGCCACAGAGACTACAGGGTTTTCATGAGCGCCGAGACTGCACCCACACCAAGTGAGCACATCATCCCTCAGGGACTCCTGGAAAATTCCATTAAGATCACTAATGAACCCCCCACGGGAATGCTGGCCAATTTACATGCCGCTCTCTACAACTTCGATCAGGTAAGGACACAGAGGGAGCCTGGTCTGACGCCGAAGGCAGGGTGTTCTCGCGAGACCACGGAAACATCACCTGTTCATGCACCTTGTGCAGGGGGATGAGGTGAAATCTTGATGTGAGTGCGTGTGAGTGTGCACGCATGCTTGCTTACCTTTTTCTCCAGTACCCCCTGGGCCAATACCAAACCCATGTTATGAAGGAATTATTATAATTAGCTACCTGAGAATATAGTTTTGATAAATAACAGTTAATTACTTCATTAAATAATTGAGTAATTTGTAGCCTATATAAATACAGTAGACTGTGTAAACAGAAGGCACTCAAAAAATCTTGCTGAATCAATTACATATTTGCAGTATGCTTTTTTTGTGAACTGGGGTGGACATATATTTGTTTTTTAATTGTCCCTCAATTTATAATGTCTGCCTGTTTATGACATTCTCAAAGTTACTACAAAATAGGATCTTGTAGGTATATATTGAAATAGGATTTATCTAACTCCCTAAAGCAATCATCTTTATTCGTGAAAAGTGAGCATTTCACGAACAAATATGCTTCAGTCTAACTGTCCTTCTGCTTTCTTTTCTCTTTGGTAAGGACCCCTCTGATAATCTAATAAAACTCTGGACACTCTCCCCAGGGAAGTGCACATTTAAAAACTGTGATGCATATAATCATAGGGATAAACAGCTTTCCACAGAGCCTGTGAATGAAGTCCTTCTCCAGCCAAAAACCACTAGTTCTAGTTTATTTGTAAAAGTATCAGTTCTTTTCATTGCTATCTGAAAAACTACTTTTAGTAACTGAAGGTCACATTTATTGGAAAGATTCTGAAGAACTTCAAGGGGAATATTATTTCTTATCTATTGAAAAGAATCCTTTGAGATATTAAGACTGAATTTAATCATGAGTAGCAAAATAAAAGGTAATCAAAGTGATTCACTAAATGAATTTGCCATCAAACTTATTTTAGCCCAAATAAAACACACAAATAGAAAGTTTCAAGAAAATAAAAAATTGTTAAGGGTCTTTTATGAATGCTGACATGTCATTATGTTCGAAAACAAGATGTGGTTTCTACTCAGATTATGAAATTCATGGGCGTGAGCCTGTGCTCCTGGCTCCCTGTGAATAGGTCCCCAGCACCCTTTTATCAGTTCAAATTATGGTTGGCTATTGATGAAAAAAGTATTTTTAAAAAGCTGTGGCTTAAACAAGGTTAAAAGGTATTTCTGCCGTGTGGGATTTCTGGAAGTGGATCATTTAGAGCTCATCTGTGTCACCACAAAGTAGTCAACAACCCAATTTCTTCCCGGGTTTCCTATTCCATCATCTCTGGGATGGGCCTGCCATGGTCTCAGGTGCCCATGAGAGTTCAGCCCCCAAATCCATGTTCCCAACAATAGGATGAAAGAAGGAACAAAGATGACAAAGGGCCCCAGCCAGTGTCACTCAGTTGGTTGGGCATTGTCCCATGAAGCAAAAGGTCAGGGTTCAATTCCTAGTCAGCGCACATGCATGGGGTGCAGCTCTGGTCCCCTGGGGCACATGCAACCAATCGATGCTTCTCGCTCTCTCTCTCTCCCTCACATTCCCTCTCTCTAAAGCCAAAAATAAAATATTTTTTAAAAAGATGACAAAAGGAACATGTTTGGTGTCTTTTAAAGATGCTTTCTACAAATTAATACACAATCTTTCTTTTATCTCGTTGTTCAAACTTTGCATTAACCTAGCTGCAAGAGAGGCTGGGAAAAGTACATTTATCTTGGGCAGACATAAGCTCAGCTAAAAGTCAATGAGGAGACATTTTAGGGCAGGCAATTATTGATTTCTATGACAGATGACTTCCTTTCCCAAAATCCCCCTGAATCACCCTGGGCGTTCTGTGCTGCTGCTCTGACCCTATCTTGCTGAGGCCTGCCAGATACTCATTTGGGTTAGGTGAATGAATCCAGTCACTCCTGTTAACTCTCTTCTCAAATGAGAAAAGCACCCAAAGGATCTAGGCAAGTTAACTATTCTGTTTGGGTGTTTTTGTTTTGCATTCTTTAATTTTCAGATCCAATTAAATCTGTATTTTTAATCTTTCCCAAAATCGGAATTTATCTCCAAACTTTGACACATGTCTTCATATTGAACACAGTTCATTTATTATTAGTTCTTTATTACCCTCAGTATTGCAAAATGTTTATGTAAATACAATCACTTAGTGAACAAGCTGTAAAGAACTATTTTTTTTGTAGGATGCTGTCCACATGTCTCTTTCAGCTCAATAGCATCTACTTCTTGAAGAAGAGTCATAAAGGAGTACTGTTTGGACTCCTTGCATCCCCAGAGAACATTTTTAAAGTAAGAATATGGAGTTCAGTCTCTGTAAGATTTGCAGCAAAAACAAATAACTGTATGTAGCAGTGGCATCTGTGTGCACACAACACTTTTATGTGTTGATGCCCATTCTCTGTTCCCAGTGCTGCTGGTATACTCCCTGATATTTATTTGCCCATGACTCAGTTTATAAAAATACGACTGACCTGAAATGTGGGATGTCAGGGTAGACTCATACTTTTTCTTGGGAAAGCCTGATTCCTATATTATTCCAATGGCACAATGAAATGGACATTGACTTGTGATTTTTTTTTTTATTAGTGAGGATAAAACTGAGTTGGTTATGTGAAACATAGATGGAATTAATGTACTTAGTCATATGGTTTCTCTTTCCTGCGTTCACAAGCTTGCCTTTTATTTGATGTTTAGCTGTAGAAAAGTTATTTTTAAGGATGGTACATGTCCAAACCCCATATGTTACCTAGAAATTTCCCGGTGACTTAGCTGGGTCTGCACTGTATGTGGCCTGGCCAATCCTAGAACTATATTTGTTGGTAGCTCTGGATTCTGATGAAAGAGATGCAGAAAGAAACTAAAATGCTCTTCTGGTCCTAGGCCAGAGGACAATTCTGGTCTTGGTTTCAACGTTTACCAGAAGTTCCCTGGGAGACCAGCTCCGAATTCCGAAAATGCTAAATAACTCTACAGGTGGCCCAAGCTGTCAGATCCGTTTTACATGTTGACTGGCTGTACTCTGACCATTTTAAAGGGCAAGGCAGGAAGGTGCAGCTTTGGCCTTATCTTCTGCTGCTGCCCAACCTCAGCTGAAGGTTTTTGACTTTTCCTGTTTGCCTCACAGAACTGCCGCATCTGAAGATGGTAAAGTACTGCATTTAAGCCATATGTCAGATGGCAGTTTTAAATATATTTTTTAAGATTTTATTTATTTTTAGAGAGGGAAGGGAGGGAGAAAGAGAAAGAGAGAGAGAAACATCGATGTGTGGTTGCTGGGGGCCATGGCCTGCAACCCAGGCATGTGCCCTGACTGGGAATTGAACCTGCGATGCTTTGGTTCGCAGCCCGCACTCAATCCACTGAGCTACGCCAGCCAGGGCAGATGGCAATTTTTTAGCTTGAATTTTATAGCTGTTTGATGATGCGTGGGTCACCAGCCAGCAGTGATCACGGAACGCAGCGGATGGCTCGACGAAACGCGAGAAAAAACATGCACAGAGACAGACCAGTTTCTGTGGAGAAGTAGGGACGCAATGGCCACCCCCTCTAGTGGGGAGCGCGCCGATTTACCATCCAAACCTGTTTTTATTGGGCTCGTTTTGCATAATAATTCAAGTAAAGTACAGTACTCAATAGGGGGAAGTAAGGAATAATAGATAACAAGGAACTCTGGGGGTCTATTTTGAGTCGGGGTCAAAGAGCTGTAAGACTTTGAGGAACAAACTAACTTCCTCCTTGGACCCTTCTCATTCAACTGAGAGCATTCTAAACAAAGAAGGTTTCACAGGATTTTACATATTCTTTCTTAGGCCTGATCACCCGGGGAACCCGCCCTTTTCAGCACAGAGCTGCACCACCCTGTCATTGTTTCAGGCTTAGGTGGAGCACGGGAACTAAGGCAACCAAGAGATAAGGAGATTTTCTCCCAGACGAGGAGAACTCAGGCTATGTCAAAGCCGAGGAGCAAGGGTCCATCACCCCCTTTTGCTGCAGCCCCAAAGTCCTTCTTTTGGGGGGCCTCCCACGTGATCGTGCCTGTCTTAAGTCATTCCCCCCTTGGGGAATCTTACCCATAATTGGCTAACCGACCACGCTTTGGGGTTCAGTTATGAATGAAGCCGCAGAAGCAGCGTTCCTGCCAGGGAGGTAAGCTTTTGTCTCCTTGCTGGCTTACGGTTCCAAGGGCATTCCCTTAGCCTTAGCCTAGGTGGGGGTTTCAGGTTCTGATACCAGTCAGGGCGGTTCCCAACAGCTGTTGGGGCCATAACCATATCAGATAGTCATACCAGGGCTCTGCTTTCCGTCTGAATTTTCAAAACAGCCATACAGATCTAGTCTATTGGACATATATATATATATATATATATATTTTTAATCTTCCATATGCCATTCTATCATCCCAATGGTGAATTTTGCTTCTAGTTCATTGGAAGGAAACCATTTGTTGTGGTGGTTACATTAGTTAAGGGTCAGCACAAAATTATAGTGATTCAAACCAGGTATTTTCTCTCGTACGTAATTGGCAGCTCTGTTCCCTGGGATCAGCCACACGCCCAAACTGATGGGTGCCTCCGCTATACCTAACGATGGCTTCTGTGATTGTCCAGTCATCATCATTTTAGCCCACAGAAAAAGGAAAAGAGTGACAATCAGGGCAAAACAATTTAAGTTAATGACTAAGCTAGACACATCGTTTCTGCTCAAATTCTGTTGGCAAAAACTTGGTTCTATAGTGCGTCTGGCAAGGGTGACTGGGAAATGGTCTTTTGGTGGGTGGCCATGTGCCCAGAGAATCTGTATCACTGTGAAACCAGGGGCAAAGAGTATAATGAAACTAAGATGGTGTCCTTTCGTCATCCAGTTTCTGCAAGGACAATTTTGCAGGGGGAAACGATGTCACGCAGTATTCCTGCTAGTTGAAATGCATTTGTCTCATTTTCTAGTGAACTTTGAAGCATTCAGAAGAATAAGTAAAGCAAAATAAAAGTGTTCCTCTTAAATCAGCAGACGGGTGAACACCAGTAGTCTCCCCCAGTGCTCTGGTAGGATAGGCGGCCCTGCTGAAAACTGCAGGCCAGCTCCCTTCTAGGTCTCCCCCGTCATCCTCCACAGGATCATTGACAGCTCAGACCCTTGCGCTCAGACACCATACAGACAAGTGACGGAACGTCTTTCTTTCCTCCCAGGATACACTCGAAGTGTGCTCCAAGGAGCAGGAGTTTAAAGGCATCCTCTTCGCTCTGTGCTATTTCCACGCCTGCGTGGCTGGGAGACTGAGGTTCGGCCCCCAAGGCTGGAGCCGCAGCTACCCCTTCAGTCCCGGAGACCTCACCATCTGTGCCGACGTCCTCTACAACTACTTAGAGGCGAACCCTCACGTAAGAGCCAGTGGTCGGGCAACCTCTTCCGGGGAGTGGCCCGACTCTGTCCGTCTTTGGGCGCTATCAGAACGGACCACCATCTCTCTGTGGAAGCTGTAATAAAACGGCTGACACTCTGTCTCCATCGTCGGCCGAGTGTGAAAATAAACCAGATCAGAGGCTTCCTCCGAGTGGATGCTGGAACTTCCTAAGATAGGTCAAAACAGTTCTACACCAGCAGCTTCGTGCACAAAAAAAAAAAAATGTCCTTCATTATGTTAACAAAAACAGTGGTTTACATGTGCATAGATGCCAGATTCATTAGGCAGGTAATGAAGCATTTGCACAAATGTAATTACATACAGCAATTCTGACAGTTCATAACACTGCATTAATAATTACTACAATTAGTCCTGATGATGGAAGCAATTTACAGCGCGTCACCAGGATAAATAATGGTGCATTTCCTGCATATGTCATTATTATGTATTAGGCATGCCACCTTGTTGTGACTTTCTCAGTAATGTTCCCCTTGATTTGAAGGTAAAGGTAGATGAATGATTTTATTGCGCAGGTAAAATGTGTTTTGCAGATGGGAACGGCAGTGCTTCATCAAGAACATTTGTGTAAACTCTTATAAACTCAATGATTGGATTTCAAAAAGGAATCATTTGTAAGAATTTTCTGGCTTGGTTCTCATACGGGGGACTTTTTTCCGTTAAGTTAAATTCGAGATCTATTTGTCAAAACCAACCAGGTGCTGTGCTTTTAGGCCACAATTTCTGTAAAGGGCCTTTCAAATAACTCATCCATTTTTCTGTGTATAAGGGACTGTTTATGTTCTCTGGGTAACCGTGGTACAATTTTTGTTAACAAAGTTTTCTCAAGCTTCAAAGGTGACTTGACGGCCATCAGAATGTACTCACATGTACTTGGTCCAGGACACGGGCGTGTCCTCCCAAGAAACACACTTCAAATGAGTGGTGCCCAAAGCCGATGGCCTTATTATAGTATGCAATCATCAATATTCAATAGCCATCATTTTTTAAATCTATAATATTAAAAAGTAGAGCTGCATATATATACCTTGAGCATGTTTTGACCCTTCTAAAAATCATACTGTCTGTTGATCTTAGCATATTTTGTTTTAAACCTTGCACAGACAACTGACTATTATATTAGTTCTCAGCAGAAAAGAAAATGGACCACTTGACACTTTCATTCCAGTCCTTCCTAAGTGTCTCGTGAGGTTGACCCACAGTTTGGTCCTGTGTCCGCTGAATCTTGTACACCATTGAGACGGAAATGAAGGGGAGAAAGAGAGGAGTTGACGTGTGTGTTCCTCTCCAGCTCTGGCATCCTCAGACTGGGCAGCACCCTGTGGCCTTTGAATCCCGCCCTCTCCACCTCCCCCCCCCCCCCACCCCGCCTCTGCCCTGCCTGGAGTTGTTCTAGATCAGCACAGCCTTAGATGTTCAGCACACTCACCTGTCTCTCAGATGTCCTGACCTCAATCCTTCGCCACACATCACCAGGCAGGTTACAAGGATTGGTGAATTAAGTTACAGAATCACTTATTAAAAAGGACAGATCCCCCCTCGCTGATTAAAATCTTGAGGGAGATACATATCAGATGGTGAGCTGTAGACCAGCCATAAATTAAAGGTAATCAGAATGAGAAATAAAATGAGCAAGTGTTTGTTGACAGCGCCCTCGGCTCTCTAGGGAGGTTGTCCGCGGGGCTGTGGAGAGCAAGAGTGCGGGTGCCGTGTAGCCACTTCTTCTTTATTTTTCATTCACCTCAAACCAGCTGAGAAGAAAGACATATGTGAGGTGCATTTATTCACACTCACCCAGACTCGGAGCGAGCACGTTGGGCTAGCTGAAGCCATGTTACTGGCTCTGTCACGTCACGCGACAAAGGAAGGCTGTAATTAAGTTTTTACTTGAACTGCTGGGAGGCGGTGTATTGCCCCCGAGGGTATAAAGGTTCCTGTCTGAAAAGGCTTCATCACAAGCTGGCATGTTTTGCAAACCCAGAGGAAGCTAAAGGGTGGCAAAGAGAGACTTCAAACGCTGCTAAGCCAAACAAAGAGGAGATAGAGTGATTTCTGGAGTAAGACGTGGTGCGGTCATTAGTTACCGCTCTCTGACTGTTGGGCAGGCCGGGCGGGCGGTAGGTAACACGGGCCCTCGGGTCCGCCTGTGGCAAGCGGATTTGTTTGCGTGAACTTTTGGAAGTGGAAGGAATTCAGAATATACCCCAGATTCAAACTGTGTGGTTTTCTTTTCCCAAGTCAGACCATAAAAACGTGCCATACCTCCAAGGCCCTGGGAACCAATTCCCTTGAGTGACTTTTGGCTGAGATTTTGAATGTGTAAGCTCTCCCTGCATGACATGTTCTAGCACTAAGTCAGTTTGCTTTGAAATCTGCATGAAAAGCTCATTGTTAGTGACTGGTCACTGCATGTATGAACGCACTGAAAATGCTTGTCTCAAGGAAGTCGATGCAGAAGCCCAGGTGCTTTCTGAACTTCTTTGTACAAGGCCAGTGCTCCGAGCCCTGCACTATGGAGCCTGCGCCTCTTTTAGATGTTCCCGTTGGTGGGGGCTTGGGGGTCATAGGGGTAGAGGGGCTTGTGGAGAGGCGCGTGCCTCCCGCCCAGCCAGCCCTCTGAAGCAGATGCCCTGGGCCCAGAAGTGAACATTCGCGTGGTTTCCCCTCAGGTCCCGTGGGAAGACCTCCGGTACCTTTTTGGTGAGATCATGTATGGGGGCCACATCACCGACGACTGGGACCGCAAACTGTGCCAGGTGTATTTAGAAGAATTCATGAATCCATCTCTGGTAAGACATATTTAAACATTCATTTCACTGGGGAGAAAATTCTGGTAAGAACTTTTAAAATATCGTTATATGAATAGTTCTTTTTAAAAAGGTTTTATTTATTTATTTTTAGAGAGAAGGGAAGGGAGGGAGAAAGAGGTGGAAAGAAACATCAATGTGTGGTTGCCTTTCAGGTGTCCCCCACTGGGGACCTGGCCAGCAACCCAGGCATGTGCTCTGACTGGGAATCGAACAAGTGACCCTTTGGTTCACAGGCCAGCCAGCACTCAATCCACTGAGCCATGCCAACCTGGGCTATATTAATAATTCTTAAGTGTTAAAAGTATTCTTGGCTTTCTGTGAGTACATTCTGGTCCACCTTCAAGGGTGCTGGAAATCTGTTTAAAATGCAAAGTTGTGGGCTGCATCCCAGATGTATAGGATCAGAATCTGCACCTTGACAAGCCCACCCAGGTGATTTCTGTGCACGTGGGAGAGTGGGTGCCCAGGTGAAGCCCTCTCACATACACTGACTCGTGGTCTTTGGGGTCGCCGAGTGAGGTATGCAGGACTGACACTGTCACTCCATCGATGTGAGAGGAACATCAATCAGTCGCCTCCTGACCAGGGATGGATCCCGCAACTTCGGTATGTGCCCTGACCGGGAATGGAACCCGACAACACTCCAACCAACTTAGTCTCCTGGCCAGGGCACTGGTACTCCATTGTACAGACAAAAAAGTTTGCCCTAGGTCACTCCATTGTCATGGGCAGGAGCTCTAGAGAGAAGACAGGTGCATTGATTTCAGTTTGAGGACACTGAAATTAGTAAAATGTGTAGTTATTCCCTGTCACAGGAACCATGGAGTCTTCTACATTTTAATCACTAACTTCTAACTAAATACGCACTCAAGAAAAATGTGGAGACTTGAGAACCCAGTTCTTCCTTCTGCGAGGAAAGGGAGGAGCAGCCCTGCATTGGAGCTGAAAGGGACCAGGCGCCCTCTGCCCATTGCCCGTCTTCCCCTCCTGATGTCTCTGCAGACCGAGTGCCTATGTGGTTCACGGCCAGGGCTGTCTACTCTGGCAAAAGGACTCCCTTGTTTGTCTGTGTTGAAGTAGCCAAGTGGTGGCCACACTTTTTGCGTGTTCTCTCTGTCTGAAAAGGTTTCCTGGCTCATGGCCAAGGCATGGTTATTTCTTGGAAACCTAGGGTGCCCTGCACCATGGCATCTCCACGCCCAGTCGGACAGCCTCCCGTGTGCAGTTTCTCTGAGGATTCCATTCCATAAAACAGCACACAGCTTTGATCGCCTTCCTCAAGTCTCCCTCGAGAAGTAACATAATGGTGTATCAGAAAACATAGTGTAGTGCAGTCTAATGCAGCAAATTGGGGACAGGTTTTTTTACTACTTTTAATAATGTTAAACAATGCAGAGGAGCAAATACCGTCCTGCCGTGTGATTATTACTTGTTTCGTTCGATTGTGAGTCTCCTCATCTCTCCTGAGTTCTAAACGAGCAGAATCTCACAGGTCAGGAAGACTCTTTCCACTGAGCACCATCGGAAGTCACTCCTCGGAAGAGGTTTGGGAACAGGTTACCATGGAGACAGGGAAGCTAAACAGTGGTGGTGCATGACCTTTAAAGAGGCTGATTTCTCCGAGTGATGGTGGAGGTCAGGGGCAGAGCGAGAAGCTAGTATAAGTCTCAGTCTACTGACAAAGAGATTGAAACTCAGATAAACTGTCACTTTTGAGGCCACCAAACTATTCAGGGGTGGGAACTGAGCCAGGTCTGTCTGGCTATAAACCTTAAGCCTTTTCCTTTGTGTTGGCGTATTCCTGAGCTTTGCTCATTGCCTAACATGCAAACGGCACCCCTCACATGTGTGTAAAGACTGCCTGGGTGTCCTTCCAGAGAGCACGGCCTGGACTGCCCAGCAGCATCGTACAACCGTGCATTCAAACGTCCAGCTCCTGCCACATCCGCACTGCGGCCTCTTTAAGCAGTTCCACTCTTTGGCTAGTTTCTGTGCTTGAAACCAGCTTTAACTGTTTGTCTTTATTGAAGGACAGTTAACAGTGGCTCTTCAAATTTTTGCAGCCATTTAGTGAACACTAACAGGGGAGGCCCAAGTCCCCGTTTGTAGGAAATGAAGTTTGGTTTAAAATGGTTATTCCAACTTGTGGTTTTATTATTCATATTTTGTGCCCACATTTGTTTTTTGGCTAATGTGTCCATCAGAGGCTAATAAGATGAGTCTAAGTATCCTTCATGGTTTTGTTTTGCTCACCCTGAGCAGGTGAAGTTTAAATTTTGATTATTCTGATCCTTAAGTGGGAAAGAAAAGAAAATGTGGATAAGTGATTAAAACAAACCATGGTGACTGCTGGTGAAGGCAGTCCAGGCTGCTCTGTCCTTGGGTCAGGGTTTCTGTTTCTGGCACCACAAGAGGCTAAACTGGAAAATCCTCCCAAAAAGATTCTGATTGACAAAATCAAACCAGAAGTGCTGACTCAGACATTTAAAATGCCTTTTGGAATTCACAGACAGCAACTGTGCATCGTCTCGGAGGACATAGGCTGCCTGGGAAATCTGGGATTGCAGGTTTGAGAAGGAAGGAGCAAACTCACTGCTCACAGATGCGGTGATTGTGCAGAAAATCCCTCACTAGACTGAATTCCTTAGGGAGTAAGCTGTATGAATCTTTCAAACTTCCAAGGCTTGTTTGGGTTATACTAGATGACCATGCATATTACTGAATAAGAATTTGTGGGATCAGTACATACTATTGAGTAAGAGTCTGTGAATATCCACTTTGTCTTGGGGTGATGGTGAGGGGACCAGGTGGCACAACAGACACCATGACAGAAAGAACCCCCAATTTAGGAAAATGATTGAGAAAATCTAGGCATAGAATAGCTACATTTTGTTGGCTGTAGCTTTTTTTTAAAAATTGCATCCCCTTACACATTTAAAAGTTCATTAGATAGAACTTACAGCCAGACAGACTAGGAAAATGAAAACAGTGTAATGGCCCCAGGGAATTTAAAGAACAATCAGAAAAAAAAATCTGAGATCATACTAGAAAATTCTAAGTGCTTGATTGATTCTCTGTTTCTAGCAGCTCAGAGACTCAGGCCCAGAAATGCTTTCATTACATTTTGGAAAGCTACATTCCCACACCACACATGCCTCTCCATGAAGTGTCTGCCCCTGCCCCCACCCCCGCCATAATGAAGCGGACGGGCATGGTGAACGCCTCACTACTGCAGCCTGTCATTCATTTCACAGCTCTGCACGGAGCGCCGGCGTGTGCCAGCAACTGCCCCAGGGTCTGTGGGTCTTTAAGTGAACAACACGGACTTTGCTGCGTAGCTCAAAGTCATGGGCAGGTGGCACTGATCTGACTCCTAATATATACTGCTCTTTAAATATTACTTAGACACACATTTTTCAATATATGCACATACAACCGTGCATGTTTGTAGAATTCGTATGTAACATGATCTGAGGCGGTGCTGTGGAAAGTCTGCACACTGGGAAAGCATAGCCTATGGAGTCACACCGGAATGCATTCGGAATTAAGATTAAAATCAAACATCTGCCTGGGCACGTTAACGCTCTCTCGATTTCTCTCTGCAAAGGAGGATGTTTGAGAGAATCAAGGACTTCAAGCCTGTGACAGGGCGACCAATCAACAGGGTGGTGCAGCGCCTGTTTGTTTCCTGTGTGTGCATGTTTCCCGTTGCCCCACGCAAACTGCAGACCAGTTCTTCTTAGGGAGAGGCTTCAGGTGCTTTCTTGGGGCTCCTCTTAGAGTCAGCCTGGTGCCACACTCAGAGCAGAACGATGGATTATGAGAGGGTCGTGAAACATTTGAGAGAGCTTGCTACCTGCCAGGGCTGCTTGCCAGCATTCTCAAAGTGTTCGGGAAGCAAAGATCAATGCCTGTTTAGTTCGGAATAACTGATTTTTCCCTTGTGGTTGGAGATCGAAGATGAACTGATGCTGGCACCAGGCTTTGCAGCCCCGCCGAATCTGGATTATGCAGGCTACCACCAGTACGTAGAGGAGATGCTTCCTCCAGAGAGCCCAGCGCTGTACGGCCTGCACCCAAACGCGGAGATAGAGTTCCTGACAGTGACGTCCAACACCCTCTTCAGAACTTTGCTGGAGATGCAGCCCAGCAATGCCCTCGTCAGCGAAGAGCTGGGCCAGTCCACAGAAGACAAGGTACAGGGTCTTTCTTGTCTTCACTATTGAGGTATAACGTATATACAGTGCCATGTACTAACCTTAAGTGGAGTTTTACCTTTGTGTACACCCATATATCCACCCAGGTCAGAGTACAGAATATTTCCAGTGCCCCAGAAGGATACTCATGCCCCTTACTGGTCAATATACGCTCCCCACTCCAGCCCAAAGGCTGCCTTGCTGTCCTTGCTCTATCACCAGAGATTGGCTTTGTCTGTGTTTGAGCATCAGATGAGTTCACACCCCCAAACAGTTCTATACCCATCTACGTCAGGCTCCTTCCATTCCATGTATGCATGTGGGGTTCACCCATGCAGTGCAGACAGCACATAGTTCATTCTGTTTAGTGCTCTGTTACGTGAGTATGCACTTCCTTACCCTATGGGGGATGGAAGTTTGGGTTGTTTCTAGTTTTTTCACCATTGTATATATCACAGCCATGAACAGTCTTGCATAGTCTTTTGTCAGTAGACAGAGGTAACTCCCACAGGTAACCACTCATAATAGTCATACTCAGAAACGGAATTGCTGGACCAAAGAATATAATGTTAACACACTAACCATCAGATCTAATTCTAGTAAGGTCCCAGGAATTTTCAGTATTATTTCTTTAAAATTTTCTCTCTTTTTAATATATTTTATTGATTATGCTATTACAGTTGTCCCAGTTTCCCCCCTTCACTCCCCTCCAGCCTATACACCCTTTCCCACCCATATCCCCCCTTTAGTCATGTCCATGTGTCATACTTATAAGTTCTTTAGCTTCTACATTTCCCATACTATTCGTACCCTCCCCCTATCTATTTTCAACCTACAATCTATGCTACTTATTCTCTGTACCTTTTCCCCCTCTCTCCTCCTCCCACTCCCCTGTTGCTAACCCTCCAGGTGATCTCCATTTCTGTGGTTCTGTTCCTGTTCTAGTTGTTTGCTTAGTTTCTTTTGCTTTTGCTTTAGGTGTGATTGTTAATAATTGTGAGTTTGCTGTCCTTTTACTATACATGTTTTTTCTTTATCTTCTTTTCTTAGATAAGTCCCTTTAACATTTCATAAAATAAGAGTGTGGTGATGATGAACTCCTTTAACTTGACCTTATCTGAAAAGCAGTTTATCTGCCCTTCCATTCTAAATGAAAGCTTTGCTGGATAGAGCAATCTGGGATATAGGTCCTTATCTTTCATGATTTGGAATATTTCTTTCCAGCCCCTTCTTGCCTGTAAGGTCTCTTTTCAGAAATCAGCTGACAGTCTGATGGGAACTCCTTTGTAGGTTACTGTCCCCTTATCTTTTGCTGCTTCTAGGATTCTCTCCTTCATTTTTACCTTGGCTAATGTAATTGTGATGTGCCTTGGTGTGTTTCTTCTTGGGTCCAACTTCTTTGGGGCTCTCTGAGCTTCCTGGATTTCCTGGTAGTCTATTTCCTTTGCCAGAATGGGGAAGTTTCTCCTTTATTATTTGTTCAAATACGTGTTCAATCTGTTGCTTTTCCTCTTCCCCTTCTGGTACCCCTATAATTCAGAGGTTGGAACGTTTAAAGATGTCCTGGAGGTTCCTAAGCTTCTCCTCATTTTTTTGAATTCTTATTTCTTCATTCTTTCCTGTTTTTTTTTTGTTGTTTTTTTTTTTCTTCCTTCTGGTCCACCCTATTGTTTTGAGTCCCAGTTTCCTTCCCATCACCATTGGTTCTCCGTGCATCTTCCTTCATCTCTTTTATAGTAACCTGCATTTTTTCATGTAATCTGTGCCCAAAATCAACCAATGCTGTGAGCTTCCTGATCACCAGTGTTTTGAACTGTGCATCTGATAGGTTAGCTATTTCTTGGTCACTCAAAAGGATGAGTTCTGGGGCACTGATTTGTTCTTCTATTTGAGCCCTCTCTCTCTCTCTCTCTCTCTCTCTCTCTCTCTCTTTTTTTTTTTTTTTATTGGTCTGGTTGCTCCTGTTACAGTGAGGGGTGGAGCCTTAGGTGTTCACCTGGGCTGGGCACCCCAGTCGCTAGATTGTGACGTTGCATGTGGGGGCGGGGGCAGGGGGAACAATGGCGGCAGCCCCGCTCTCCTGGGATCTCAGTGCCTTCCCTGGGATCCTGGGTTGCGCGCTCCGCCCTGGTCCACAATTGCTGCCTCACTGGGTCTGCCAGTTGCCACTCGCGTACTCAGGGTCCACCCGCTTCGATCTTGCGCGTCCCGGATGGCTTACGCGTTCCCGGTTGCCTTAGGTGCCCAGCTCTCCCTGCACTCCGCGCGCTGCGACCTGCGCTGGTCTCCACCCCTCCTACCGGTCTGGATGAACAGGTCTACTTCACCTTCTTGGCTGTCCGACTTCCATTCAGATAAATTCTCAATCAGTTCTGGGTGTTATTCTGCCTCTAAATTGTTGTTGTTCTAATCTTGGTTGTGCGTAAAGGTACGGTGCGTCCACCTATGCCTCCATCTTGCCAGAAGTCCCCCTATTTCTTTAAAATTTTCAATTATTTCTTGAAATAAGTCCATTTGTTGAGAAACTCATTTGTAATTTACTTATTAATTGATTGATTTTTATAGAGAAAGGGGAGGGAGGGAGAGAAACATCAATTTGTTGTCTCATTTATCTGTTCATTGGTTGCTTCTTGTATGTGCCCTGACTGGGGATTGAACCCACAGCCTTGGTGTATGGAGTGGTGCTCTGACCAACTGAACTACCTGGCCAGGATCAAAACTTGTTTGTAATTTAGAAACTGTAGAATTTGTTGTAAGGTGTCCTATATACTAACATCTTCCCTATGTGAATGTTAGGGTTTTTTTCAAAGATTAACATCACTGTCTGGTGTAGCTCAGTGGACTGAGTGCGGGCCTGTGAACCAAAGGGTTGCTGGTTCAATTCCCAGTCAGGGCATATGCCAGGGTTGTGGGCCAGGTCCCCAGTGGGGGCCACGTGAGAGGCAACCACACATTGATGTTTCTCTCCCTCTCTTTCTCCCTCCCTTCCCCCCCTCTCTAAAATAAATACATATTTTTTAAAAAGAAAAATAAAAGATTAACAAGGTAAAAATTCATCCATTTGAGAAAAGCTATTGCTGTGACCAGAAGCAGAGAGAGGTGGATGAGGTTTCCATCTAGCTTTCAGATTTCAGTCCTTCCAACGAGAAAGCTGATCATTAAACCAGAAAATGCAGAACAAATGAGGTAAAGATGCCCCAACACCCCAAACAGGCAAAGATTGTGTAGCAGCAACCACCTATCAGGTGCTTTGCAAGGCTCTAAGGAGAGCACCCTGAGTAGTGTTGGGATCCCTGTTTCGGAGATGAGCTTCCGTGACACCCCAAGGCCAAACAGCTGGAGAGAGCCAATGAAGGAAACCAAGTTTTAGCTGATGCCAAAAGCCGTTCTTTTACCTGCCTTCTCTGCTACACTGTTTTGTACTCCTTACCGCTGTTGTAAGTAAGTTTAAGACTTCAGGGCCTGACAATTGACCCGCTGGGGTGCCAAAGCACCTTGCAAACCACAGCCGGTAGTCTGGTAGTCTGAGAAATCAAGGAACGAGGGAAAGACGTCTGAGGCTGAAGACAGCGACACTCCTCAGTCTTGGGTGCTTGTTGGTTTTCCATGGCTCAAGGAAACCGCTTAGATAGAACAAATACGCACATCGGAGAGCCACGCACATATTCGTGTCTCTACTGTGTAAATCTTTTACTTCCTCAGGGCAGCAATTATACCAGATAGAGCCTTCCTTGTTGAAAATGTTAACCAAACTGCTCCCAAACTTTTAGGGTATGTCAGAGGGCAGCATCATAGTCACCAGAATCAGCTCCAGCTTAAAGGACGTCTTTGGGCCGTGTGACTTTTCAAATGACTAAATTACCATATTACGAAATGTCACCTACCTACGGGTTGGGGTTCTGCCTCCTCTGACTGTATTTTCACACACAAATGAAGTGTAGTTGATGTCTGTTCTCATGTTCCCTAAGCGCCCACAGTAATAACCTGCAAACAAATCATAGCTCCTCCCTGACGGGATCTACAGGGAGGTGGCTGGTAGCGCCCCTTGGCCACCTCCAGGGACGAGGAGGTGTCCTTTATAGGCATTGGCAAGCATCTCTGGAAGTTGCATGATATACTCTGGGACTTAAAAAAATAGAAAATACATACAGTCAGTGTGACCAAAAATGAAAAAGAAAGCAGCTCCATTTTTGTGTATTCGTGACTTAAGGTTAAGAATGTCTTGGATGACATTTTGGAGAGACTCCCCGAAGAGTTCAACATGGCAGACATCACGCAGAAGCACCCCAACAGAACCCCCTATGTTCTGGTTTGCTTCCAAGAATGCGAGAGGATGAACGTGCTCCTTCGGGAAATCCGCGTGTCACTCCAACAGCTAGACCTCGGTTTGAAGGTGAGTAGAGGTGGGCTAGAGGAGGCTGTCCCACATCAGAAGATAGTCACTAGGTGGCCCTTCTTCTCCATGCAAGGGGGAGCTGACGCTGTCGCCTGCCGTGGAAGCCCTGCAGTCCGCCTTGAGCTATGACACGGTACCAGACACCTGGAGCAAACTGGCTTATCCATCCGCCTACGGCCTGGCCAAATGGTAAACTGCCGCATCCCGGCTCCCGCATCCCGGCTCCCACCAGCCTTATCCGCCTCGGGGCTGGTTCATTGTCCTGAATTCTTATTCAGCCTGTAAGAGCTATAAAGGCTGTGCTTTGTGACTGGACTTGTTAAGTGTGCAAACGACCACCCGTTTCATTTGTTTCCTTAGTTGGTTGCTTCAAAGGCAAAGGAATCAATTAAAGGTCAGGGTCAGAGCAAGATTCCATTTCTGCCTCTTACTTATTCGCTGTTTGATCTTGGACAAAGTACCTGACCTAATTTTGCATTTTATCATCTGAAAAATGTAGGTAATAGAACTCTCTCACTGAGTTATTACCGCCACGGGAGGCAACTTGAATTTGCTCCCCTATCATTATCTACCTTCATTTTCTTTTTTTTCTATTTGTTTAAATAAAAAAGAATTTATTGGCTTACATGACTGAAAAACCCAAAGGTGGTTCCAGCTTCAGACTTGGCTTGATGCAAGAGCCTGTTTTCAGCACCTGGCCACTCTCCGTCTCTCCACTCTTGTTCTCCATGTCTTTTTTGTTTTCTCAACTTGTTCAATTACAGTTCACATTCAATATTGTGTCAGTTCCAGGCGTGCAGCATGCTCGTTAGACATTGCTGCTTTTCACATCTCGCCCTGGGCTCCTCTGTTCTGGACCCCTGTTCTTTTGTTGCAGATGGTGGGGAGTAAATGGGGTTCTTTGTGTCTGCATTCTGTCACTGCACTCTGGCTCCTGACTACTGGCTTACCTATATATAGGTAGCATTCTAGAATACAATCGTTCCCGCTCAGAATTTGATTGTCATAACTCCATTGTCTGCTGGCATCTATTACAGTTGATGAGTCTATTCTTAAATATACTTGTCATTTCTTCACACATCATTTTCTCTAGGAAGTTAAGGTTTTTCTCTTTATACTTGATGTCTTGCCATTTTACTACTGTATTTAGTTATGGACTTTTAAAAGTGTATCCTATTTGGTAGGGTATGATGTAATAAATTTGAGTCCAACTTCTACTTCCACTCTGAAAAATTCTTAGCCTTTGTCTCCAAAAATTGCCTTCCCTGTCCTCCTCATTTACCTGCCCAAACTCTCATGTTTTCTGTCTCTGTGTCTGTCTGCTGTATTCTGGTTGATTTTGTCCATTCTGGGCAATCTTTATTATACTTTAAGTTGTCTCCAGTCTACTATTTCTCCTCTTAGTTTTAAAATGTCATTGTCCCAAATCAATTTTAAGTTCCAGGCTGTTTCCATCTGGGCATAGGGGAGACGAACCTGTCCTGCTTTCCTGTACTTATTACGACTGTTCTGTTTCTTTCTCATGAGTTTAAACTTACTCCTTCAGAGTCTTTTTTTTTCAGTATCCTCTTTATTTTTATTTCCTAAATTATCAGCTTTCCCATTTGTTGGAGATGCTGCTTTTTCACACTGTATTATCAGTTCTTTATACTCGCCTGACAGTTTAGCTACTTTTAAAAAAATTGACCCGGTCACCGCTGGAGGTTTTTGTAGGCATCGGTCTATTCTGAGCACCTGGTTCTGTGGAGGAATCTGAGGCTGTCATTTTTTCTCCTCCTTTTATAAAAGGCTTCATGTTTTCTCCTGACTAGGGGAGTGTCTATCTTCACAGTTTATTTTAAGATATATCATTGTATTGAATATTCTGTTGCCAAATCTTCTTGAAACACAGGATGGCCTTGATTATACAGATTCAAATTCATAATTTAGGAACTCACCATGTTCTAGAATTGTATTAGTAAATACATGTTTCAACTTTCATCTTTCACTATTTTTGCTTTTAAAAATTATTCTACCTTATGCTGCTTTGCTTTTTGCTTCTGTTTCTATCAGTGTTTTTCCCACTTTTGAGATCTTCCAACTTAATTCCCTGTTTCTTAATGCACTTCATTATTTAAAAACGTGTTTGGCTGTAACGTTTACCCTCTGTGGCAACCTTTTGAGCTAGTCTCTTTCTATTCTTGCTTTCCTTTTTTTCTCTGTTACCTTTCAGTTGCGTGTGCCCTACATCAGGGATTTGTAACATGGGGTGGGGCACAGGGCTGTATTCTAAGCTGGCCCGAGATTCCCTTCTGGTGGCCCAAGTGTGAACGGGACCTTTCGGAGCGCTGCCTCCTCCACAGCCCCGTCTCAGGCAGCCCTCCCCTGCAGGGCTGGAGGGCGGGGATGCGCCCTCACCTGGCCCTGCTTCCTCTGCAGCTCCAACCCAAAGCAGGTCCCAGAAAACATTGGGGCTAGCCCGCAATGTCCCCGCCCTGGAGAACTGCTTTACTGGCTTGTTTACTGGCCTGTCCTCTCTGTGCTCCATTTCTGCAGTTTTTCACATTCTTTAAACCTACATTTCAAGGTTTCATGGGTCTCCTGATGTTATCAAAGTGCGTTTTTCCTTCACCTCTGCGAGCCAGCTTCCTCCTAGTAAATTACAGATAGTCCCCACCTGTGCAGCTGAGCTGCAAGAACCGGTGTGAAACATCAGATTCCCAAACCACAGGCAGGCAGTGGATCAAGTCACTTGGCAGTTACTGCCTGTGGGAAGGCTGCTGTAGGCATGCTCCGCTGCCTCGGCCTTTCCCAGCACCTCCGGTCCAGGACCAGTCAGGAAGGTTCCTAGAAGGCCGCTCCTCCAGGAACGTGTCCCCACACGCCCTGGGCAGACGTGCCTCCATGTTCCCTTTTGGCACTTGCGTAGGGTGATCACACAGCACTGGAAGGATCTGAATAGTTGAATAATGGAGACAAATGGCCCATATTCCCCAGTGGTTCTTGTCTCTGATGCTTTAAGACAGGAAATCCCTACTGGAATAAAAACCTAGCCCCTTAAAGGGACAGGCAACATTCTGCAAGTCATGTGCTAGTGATTTTACTGGTTGTCAGTGGAAGACCTTTCTAGAATCTACTTCATCTTATTGGAAAACCTGTCTTACTATAAAGCAAGCTGGTTTCTTGCTGCCTCTGTTCACCAGGTTTAATGACCTCCTCGTACGATGTCGGGAACTGGACACGTGGACACAAGATCTTGCCCTCCCGGCTGTGGTGTGGCTTTCCGGCCTCTTCAACCCTCAGTCCTTCTTAACCGGTAAGGCCTGCGCTCCCAGAACCACATTCCTAGCGGGAATCCTTTCACCTGGGAGTGCTCCCCCGCCCCCCTGCCCCGCCCTGCTCCCTGGCTCAGGGAGAAGCCATTGCAGAAAAGGAGTGGGAGAGACAGAGGAAGCAGCTGGGGGCAGGAGGCCCAGGTGCAGCCCAGTGGCGTGAGCTGAGGTGCGCTCCGGCAGATGTGTTCTGCCAAGGCCCCATGGCCTCCCTCGCTGCGGCCATACTGAAGCACCCACTGACGGTGCTGACCAGGTGGCCGTGGCCATCTGTCCCGGGAAACACTGCTTTCTGAAAGCTGTGAGATTGTCCCGAAGGCCTTAGTTTGCCAACCCTTGCTCTACTGCGGTACCTGCAAATAACGCAGGCTCTGGAAACACCCTGCAGGACCGAAGCACACCTCCGCAGGTGCTCAGTTTCCTGGGAGCCTCACGTTCAGCTTGATACCACTCCTGTCCCTTCTCCTCCTGAAGCAATCATGCAGACCATGGCTCGAAAAAACGAGTGGCCACTGGACAAAATGTGCTTGACGGTTGACGTGACCAAAAAAACCAAGGAGGAGTACGGCCACCCGCCACGGGAAGGCGCCTACCTGCACGGGCTCTTCATGGAAGGTGAGCCAGCCCATGGAGCACCTGTGCAGTGGGTTAAGGGCCTTTCTTACTCAGGTTCAAGTTAGCATTTGCCCTGTTTATTGTTTCTCAGTGTTCAGTCACATGAATGGTTCTTGACTTCACTTCCTGCTTCTATTTTTAAATTTAGATGCCAGGATGTGTGTCTAACATGGGCCAGATTTTACGGCATTTAGGGTGACGGCTGTCACTTAAATTTGTGCACGCATCTGGTGGTTCATACCACAGGATCGCTTAAGACCTACACTGAATTAATTTTGCTCTCAATATACTCAGTTCAAAATCTACTTTTGTCATTCTACTTTATTGCAAGATTTCTGCAAGCCTTTAAAGACGCCAGTGTGCACTGTATTCTCTCAAGGGGGCAGGATGGGGAGGAATATGCAATGATTTCCAAATTTACGGGCCGTGTGCTTGTTCTGCAGAACATTCCTCTTATCCTCGTCTCTGCCAAGATGCTCTTTCTCACTGCAGAGCACGTGCCACAGGTTCAAGTGTTTAAAGACAGGCCAGGTGATGTGAATGAGGTACTTGAACTTGGTGTAAGGTAATGGTACAGTGGGGAGAGCATGTGGTAAATTGTATTCCTCATTCTCTAGAAGCATTCAAACACTTGTTTAAGGTAGAGAAAACCAGTTTGCTTTAGCGTCTGGAGTATCACGGAATCTCTTTTCATCGACTTGACTTTTTCGGAAGAGTTTAGGTGTTGCGGATGGGAGCGGTGGTCTGCTTGCTGCGTGTGCATGCACCTGGGTGGCAGCAATCCTGATTCCCCCCCCACACCTCAGCCCCGGGCCAGCGCGGCAAGGAAGCCAGACACACTGTCACGTGACAGAACTGGAACATTTATTGCCTGCAACAGTGACAAGATCGGTCCCCCCATGGCCCACCGCGGCGACCCCCGTGTTTCCGCTGCAGGTGCGAGATGGGACGCCCAGGCAGGCACCATCGTGGACGCCCGCCTCAAGGAGCTGACGTCGGCGATGCCCGTCGTCTTTGCCAGAGCCGTCCCCGTGGACAGACAGGAGACCAAGCACACCTACGAGTGCCCTGTGTATAGAACCAAGGCGAGGGGCCCCAACTACATCTGGACCTTCAGGTTGAGGAGCAGAGCGAAGACGGCCAAGTGGGTCCTGGCAGGTGTGGCTCTGCTGCTGGAGGCCTAGGCGACTGACCAACCTCGGCTGGGGCACAGTGAGGGTTTTCGTCGTGTCCCTGCGCCGGTCTCCTGCACAGTAACTTATTCTACTGACAGGCATAACACATTCCAGTTTCTGTACCTTTTAAGTAACTGTGTGCGTTAATTTTTTTTTAAACACCACCCTTAGAGAGGGGAAGAGGAAGAAGCCAAACCCAGTCAGAACATACTAGTTTTTAAGTTTCCCCAGCACCTGTCCCACCACACACGCACACACACACACACACACACACACAGAGCACCTGTCACATTTTCATCGAGGTTCCACTGAAAATACAACCTCGAAAACAATGGGGTTGGAAGTCTCCTGGTCAGTAAGTGGGATCTGAGTTCTTGTGGGATCTGAGTTCTTGTAAGATACTAAACAAAATCTTTTTAAATTAAAAATTAGCTCTCACATTCTCTTAAAGTCCAGAAGCGACCATCCCCAAGCAGCAGGCGCTCCGAGGCCTCCAGTGTCAGAAACTGACAGTCCGCTTTTTGTTCATTCAAGTTTTAATACAAAATAAAACTCTAGAACACTCAAGTTCTGCGGTTAATTGCACTCTGTAATTTAGGGGAACGTTTGTCAATGTAAATTTCCAATCACACGGGAGCGGGTTGAAACCATGTGGTTTGAACTGAGGTCAGGATAAGGCAAGGGACAGGGGCAGTAACCCCGGTGAAAACGTGGCCTGGAGTTACTGCTTGGGAAGTGAAGTATCAGGGCAACGTCGACAGTTAAATGGTGTCAAAGGCAAGAGCTCCTTAGGCAGCGTTTTCTCAAACTTACCTGAACTTTAACTGTGCTTTTTAATCATCTGCAGACACTTAACAATTCAAACAGTCCTGCGTACATAGATTCCTCGAGGTGCTTAGCTGTCTTCCTGAGAAATCTTTGTAAGCATATAAACAATCTTTAAAACAAATAGTATTTAGATCTACTCAGAGTTTCTATATAAAAACACAACTATAAAAAAATCTTAGGCACAAATGGTACGTAGGGCACGTCTTGTGGGGAATATGCGAGGCGAGCTGCCCAGTTCTTCTTTCTCTTAATTGTCTTCCACCAGCTGCTTCTGTAAGCTGGGGAGAGATGGGGCAGGTCAGCGTGGTAGGTAACGAATGGGAGGGACGGAAAACAAAGCAGCGCTCTGGGCTCCGGAGCCCCTCAAGCACAAAACCCAGACTGGACCCTCTGATGCTCTGCAGTCCTGATGCCTGTGCATTCCACACTAGACCCTGCGGGCAGGCCCCAGCTAAGACTTGTCTCATTCTGAAACCATGCTTTCAGAGTGTGCTGGGGTCCCCAGTCCCATCTCCTTGTCCCCAGATGGGGGCAACCACATCCTAAACATACATCCCCCTAATCTCTCCTCTGCCCAGCAGGGTCAGGGCTGCCGCTGGCCTTCACGGCTTCCCCTCAGCCTGCCTCGGACACTCCGTTTCTGTTTCACACAGTAAGGGGAACTGGACACAGGCAGTCTCAAGTTGAAAACTCTGGCAAAGGAGGGAATTTTGTAGCTGGGCAAAAATCTGTCCTGAGCCTTTCCAATGCAAAGAGCTGCAGAATGGGTGGCATTCACGGTGGCTGGTAAGAATCAGCGTGAAATGAGGCCACCACTTCCTGCCTGGGGTGGGGGGGGGTCCGCCTTGCCAGACCTGGGGTCACAACCCCCTTTTGGAGTTGGGAGACTCACCTCTCCAGATACTCCTTCACGTTGTTATAACCGTAAAACTTGGCCAGGTGAATGAGGATCCCCGTGGCACAGCGGCCATCGCGCCTCCTGCAGTAACTGCAATTGCAGATCCCACGGCAGGGGGGACAGATCCAGTTCTAGGAGAGGGAGGAAGCAGACACTCCCGCGTTATCTGCGGGCTCCGGTCAAGGTCAAGCCTGGTTCAGCTCAGCAGACCTCTCCGCCGGTCTTGAGTCACATGCCATCTCTTCCCTTGTACCTACCACAGGGCGAAAGGTGGTCCCCTCTCTCCTTCCTCTCACAGGTTCAAAGAGGCCCCACAAAGCTCGATCACCCACCACCACACATGGAGAACACTGAGAGATGTGGGTTTCACACAGGATCAACTAACCTGACAGACAGACACCTGTTCAAAATTCTGGAGCATTTCACAGTAGTACTGGAACTACAGAGGCCACAGAGCCAAAGAAGTTGGCCCTGGTTTCAGGAGGAGGGGGTTTCCAAAAGAAGAGTGTGAACAAGAGCTTTCCATCCCCCGTTTGTGTGACTGTTGTTAAATCACTGAACCGCAGTGGCAGTTTACAGTCACGTGCAAACTGGGGAAAACGTATCTACCCGCATGACTGCTGTATAAGAAAGAAGTTAAGAGCACAGAATGCCCAGGTTCAAGGTCATACTCGATCCCACTCTCATTTGACAGAAGGAGCCCAGGCATAGGGAGGTCATACACCCACTTCATAAGGGGAAATGAGTTAACAACTGAAATAAAGCAAACTGCATTCACAGATGTAATGCCTCGGAGCAGTGCCAGGCACACAGGAGGCGCCCTGCACGGGGCCGCCGCCGGCCTGGCCCAGGCAAATCTTGCCGTTCAGGGAAGGCACCCAGGTGCACCGGGACGAACCAGGCAACTGTAAGAAAGCTCGGCTGACCCTGGAAAACCCAATGCACTCTCGTCTCCTGTCCCATGCATTGGTGAGCGTGCTCCCTTTCCAGAAGGAAACCCTGCCCTTCATTTCTCCTAGTGTCTTAAGATGCAGAAAGAGAGGAGGGGGTCGAAGGCTCTAGAGAGCTCTGCCGCTACTGGTCCCCGGGACCCAGGGAGCCCCACCCGCAGGCTTCCCTTCCCCAGCACAACACAAACACCCAGGCTGCTCCTACCGGGTCCAGCAGAGCTGCTCTCACATCCTCCCCATAGCGGTTCCGCAGGCACGGCCCACAGAACTGTCCCCGCACCCCTCCACAGCTCTGGTTCCGACACACCGTCTTGGTGTCGATGGTCTTCTGCCGACACTGATGGCACGTGTTACCCTGTGGGGAGAAGGCTGGAGTGGCCGAACACGGATTTATAGGGCGGTGGCCCCAAGGCCACACGCTGCCACACACATTCCGAAGTGCACAAAGACACACGGCCCCTCTCTCAGAATTGGGTGTCGCTGTGTCTCTGCTATGAGCCTGGGCACCCGCAGTTGCCTGTATGCATGTTTAGTTCTGGGGCCAGAGAAGCATCTTAGGGCAGGTGAGGCTGAGCAGGGAGCCTGGAAGACATGAAACGACCAGAGAGACAAGAGGGAACGCAGGAGGGTGACAGGTGACAAAGTGGCAATGAATCCCACGTAGCATCCCTCAGCTCCAACCTAGTTCCTGGGAATCTGGGTAATCTCAGCATAAAAACCTCCAGATTTTAAAAAGCTGACAATTAGCCCTGGCTGGTGTAGCTCAATGGCTTGAGCACAGGCTGTGAACCAAAGCATCACAGGTTTGATTCCCAGTCAGGGTACCTGCCTGGGTTGCAGGCCACGGCCCCCAGCAACTGCACATTGATGTTTCTCTCTCTCTCTCTCTCTCTCTCTCTCTCTCTCTCTCCCTCCCTTCCCTCTCTAAACATACATAAAATCTAAAAAAATACACAATTTCATTTAAAAAAAATAAAAAGCTGACAACTAAAACCATTTAACACTACCTTAAGTCAGGTGTGCATTATCTAAAAATGGTGCAGAACACCATAAAGTTTCCCTCTAAAGCACCATTTTAAAGAAATTTTAACCTATACTCTACCAACCAAATAATCTCTCAAACCTGTTTCTATGGTTATGTTAACCAAAAAGCCTATTGTTTCTTCAACATTTAAGACATAAAAAGTACAGAAACATAACAACTATAAACAAACATGCTTTTCAAAACTGTGCCCCTGCCCTGTTCGCCAACACCAGGCAGCCCCCAGGGAAACCTCTGCCCCAAGGAACAGCCCTGCACCAAGCTGTCCCCGCCCCCACCCCTGTTACAGCTGGCCCTCCGATCAGGGCCCACTCTGTGCCTGGGCAGGTGGCCCTGGGTGTGAGCCTGGACGTGGCTTAAAGACAATGCACGACTGCAAGTCCCAGTGCCCTGGAGGGCCAGGAAGAATGCCCGGTGTGGGAGTCATCATCACACACGACTTACCAGGACTTTGTCATAGATTTTGTCTCGAACGGTCAGGGCCACGTTGCCCAGGTCCTCCTCGGTGATATCCTCCACCGCCCGGAAAGGAGCGAGCCGATGGCGCCGTTTCACGCCCTGGCACCTCCCCTGCAAGAGCACACGGAGCAGAACCTGGTGTGAGATACTCTGAGCGGTTCAACGTGCTTTTATTTTAAACGGTCAGCCTTCCAGGACCGTGTGTGTTAACTCTGCTCCTCTTCTGCTTTCCCCAAATCACTCATTCCCCGAATCATTCACTGCACCCCTGCCCCACAGGGCCAGGCTTCCTTCGTGGCAAAGGGACAGAACAGTACATGCGAACCTCGAGCACCTACTGTGAACTCTGCGGACAGCGCAGTGAACCACGAGGGACGGCCAAACCCACCTCCCTCCGGGATGAAGACACTTGACATGTTTCGTTCCTAAAACAAGGGCTCAGAGCAATCACTATACTTTCCCTGAAGCAAAACGAGAGGGCTGATGGAGCCACTAACAGGCCTGTGCTGCTCCTTTGGAGATGCATCCAGACGACTGCTCTGCTCCTCGGGGTGGGGGGCTCAGACAAAGGATTCCCCCCATGGCCTAGAGTTTAGACCAGGGCTGCTTCTCTAAGCGCGTGGTCTGAGGAGCACCAGAACCACCTGGGAATTTACAAAAACGCAAGCTCGCAGCTGCTACAGATCTACCAAGGCAGCGCCTCAGCCTCAGCACTTTCGACAGGCCCTGGATGACTACGATGGCTGCTGGTGTCAGAGGACCACTGGCTTAGACAGAGAATAATCTGTTTCCTAGGGTCCAAAAGTACCCCACTGATCGTCTTCCGTCTTCTGAAACCGTAGAACTCGTCTGCAAACTTGCTGGTTGAGACAGTGAAGTTTTCCAGAGCAAACTTCTCCGGCGGCCGCGCACTCCGGGTGGGGTTCATGCGCCTGGTGATCTGCCCCTCCGAGAAGGCCCGCCTCGAGGTTTTCCTCTTCTGAAAGCGAGAGCAGAGACAAGTGCCGCGGAGTGCTTTCTGCAACACAAGCCACCTGGCAACCGAGTACGTCCATCGGGATGGGAACAAATAACGGGAAGGAGCGCCACTTACAGAAGCCGAGTTCGGGGTTCGCACTGGGAAGAAATCTGGCACTGAGTTCAATTCCGCCAATAACTGAGCAAGCTGAAGTTCAGAACAGAGAAAGGGTCGCACGTAAATATTCCCAAGTCTGGCTTATCCAACACCTGATCACCAGTCTTCAGTTCTGCAGCCACGAGACGCTTGACGAACATAGTTCAGGTCAGATCTCAACGGCGGTTCTAATTTTAACCTCACAGGGGAAGATTTTTATCTGCGCAGCTGACATCATCGTTCCTAAGAGTGAAATCTATGCCCACTACTTACGTACAAGGACACAACACAACGCAAAAACTGTCCTGGAAGGACCAGGGCCTGGAGCGTTGGTCAGGTTGGAATTCTGACGGGGCCACTAGTTAGTGTGAGCCTGGTTTGTGCGCCTGAGTCAAGTTCCACCACGTGCACAACAGAAAAGGCTCAACTAGACCAGGCTGACAGTTATTTAGAGCTCCAAAAAAATTAAGCCAAAAAAATTAAGTTAAAATCTCATCAATAATAATTCCTAAAAATATTTCCAAAAAAGCACCTAAGAACACCAAGTAACAGGCATTAATACGCCGATTGTGCATTTTTATGAGGATTCTTTTGAGCTTTAGATTTATACAAAGTATGGGTGTCACCCAAAGATTGTGAAGAACAGAGTTCTTATTTTAAAGATGTAGACTGACACAGTGTTAAAATTTTCCCTGAGATAATAATAAGCACAAGTGTGTCACAGAATACATTTCACCGAAAAGCTAACTTTGTATGTTCTTAGGTAACTTATTAGCCATATAAGATTGTACATACAGTAGCATTACCTCTAAAGGAAAACACACCAAAATGCTAAAAGCGATTATGAGTGGCAGCAGCATTTTAAAAAACTCTGTGTGCACAAAACTGACGCTACCAGCAGTTACTGGCCACATGCAGACAATCTGCACCGAGTGGATTGCACCGAGTGGATTTCACCTCGTTCCACTGATTAGTCTGGTGAAGACACTCAGGCTCAGTTTGCTTTAAGGCCTAGCCCTCTTTCACTCCGTCTGACAGCGTCTGGAAACCACGGCGGGTCACCCCAGGGACAGGGCTCTGGGCTGAGACGCCTGGCTGGCCTGCCCACTGCACCGTGGGCTTCCCAGCATCTCATGTCCAGCTTCCTTTCGCTGGGACCAGGCCAGTGGGCCAGGACTGGCTGATGGCACAGAGCAGGGAGCTGAAAAATGGTGCTGGGCATCTCCCTCTGGGTTTCCAGCTCAGAGCCCTCGGGTGATCATTGCTTGGGGTTCAGAAAGAGAGACAGCACACACAGCACCCAGGCCACACTATCCAACAGAAGCCAGAGCAGCAGCCGCCGTGAGAGCATGTGCGGCCCAAGCTCCGCCACTGCCGCCGGCTGCCAGACGCCCCCGCGGGCCTTACCATGGCCTTGTTCTCCTTGATGTTCATGGCCCTTCTCAGCAGCGCATCCGAGCTCTCCTGGCCCTCGTCCTCACACTCGGAGGCAGAATCTCCCCTTTCCTCCCCTTCTTCGTAACTTCTTTTTCTCCCAAGAATGTTTTTTTTATTGTCCGGGAGGTGTGAGCTAGAAAACAGCGGCTCAGAAGAATCGTTTTTATCAGATTTTTTTGCTGATTTCTTGGTGGGGAATTGCAAGGCTACTCGAAGACCAACACTGCTTCTTCTAGGCCTGCTTCTTCTAGGCGTAGCCTTTTCTTCTTCATCATCTTCCTCCTCCTCACTCACTGCCAATGCCTTACCATCATCACTCAAATCGGACTCCTCGAGCTAACAAAAACGAGAAAAAACCAAGATGTTGTCTTAAAGCAGACTTTTAAAAAGGCTTACTTAAAACCACGCTGACGTTATTTGAGGAAAAGGATAAACAGCTGAAAGCTTCCCCTTCTTACCAATTCCCCTGACTTCCCAGTTCAACGCTCAAGGAGCTTGTCGATGGATAAACCAAAGGGCAGGCACGTGCTCCCTGCCCCCACTGAGCTGCTCCTCAGTTTGGTTTGGCGGAAGGACTCCACCCGCAGCCTACAGCTCAGACCAGGGGCTACGCCCACAGTGCGGTCCCAGGAGCACCTGTACCACCTGGGAACACAGTAGAAAGGCACATCCTCAGCCCCTGGCAGACTGGGTTCCATTCAGAGCATCGGGCTGGAGCAAAGCACTGCAAACTGGGCTCCTGCGCAGTGGAACAACCACGCGGGCACAACTGGAAGCCACGTAATGTGGGGCACAGCCCAAGACAGGTGTGTGTGCCCTAAGAGTCGTCTTCAGGTACAAACAGGAGTGCTAAGGGAAGACAGAAATACCGACTGCTCTGCACTGAATAGCAAGGACAGGGCTCAGAGAGAGAAGGGCAGGCAGTGGACCTGCTACTGGGATTGGTGGGAGAAACTCATCGCCAGGACATCGTGTCCTCAAGCCCTTCTGTGACCGCAGAGCCACGGAGTGGGCGGGGGGCTGGGGGGGAAACCAACGGAGACAGCGCTGCAGGTCGCTGTGGAACGCCCGTTCAGTCAGCTCAAGAAGCTCTCCTCCCAGTTTCCAAGCTCCACGCGGCACAAGTCTCCAGCACTGAAATAAGCCTCCGTTCTACCCAAGAATGCAATGCGGACGGAAGGCAATGGCAGGTGACATCTCAGTTGAAAGGGAACCACTAACAATAACAGAAAGAGGCTTAAATACTGAGATCAGGGACATCTCCTGGGCATCCTTCCTGGACCGCACGCTGGAAGGCTGAGTTTGGGGACCTCCACCAGGGACTCAGACAATGGGGCTGCTGGAAAGAGAGCAGCGGGAGGCCCCAAGATGGGCCCAGGACCCACTTACACGCCTCTGCTCCCTCCTCGGTGACCACCCCCAAATTCCAGCTGGACCCCAGGAAAAATAAGGCAGAGGGAGAAAAAAATGCAGAAACTGCAAACCCTGGTGGATGTTATCAATCCACAAGCCAAGTAAAGAAATCAACTATACTAATTTATCTCTATATTTTTAACACCCTGAACTTCCTACATTAAATAGCTTTGGAACTGATAACGGCAGGCTGCCAAGGAATCCCATTTTAGGAAACACTGTTGGAGAAACACAGAGGAACTGTCCTCCAGATTGGCTTTATTTATCATCATCATCATCATCATCATCATCATCATCATCTAACCCGCTTCTTTTCACCAAGGAGGCAGAGCAGCCTGCTAAGAAGCACATAAAGAGTAAGCTGCAAAAATATCAGCAGACACTCAGCCCTGAGGGGAAGAACACCGGGACCAGAAGGCTGGGTGCAGAGGAAACAAAGCTTGTTTTCGCAACAAATTTTGCAGGTGGACCTGCCCTGAGCTATGAGTTCCTTACGTCAGAGTCAACATAACATGTCCCAGTTCATAACCCAAATACATAGTCTTGGGGGTGGGGGGAGACTTGGAGGGTAATTGATTATGCTGTGCTGGAAACATGAATTCTTTGCATAGCCAGATATCACTTAACTACAGAAGTCAAGTCACTGAAGAGCAGATGATACCGGCTGGGGTTTGGAAAGGTCTCGGGGTCTTGCTGGCCAGCACACACGACCACCAGGCACACGGCTTGTTTAAAGAAAGCCCCGGGAGGGCCCTCAGGCTGGCACAGCGCTGTGTTGCTAGTCATGGAAAAAAACACCGCCATCCAACCAGACAGCCTACCGTCGGCACTTTCAGGCCTTAAATTCCCCCAGGAAAAGGTGAGGGACACAGCGGGCCTACGAGTCACAGCCATTTAAACGTCTACGCAGGTCCCACGTCAGAAGTGGCTCCTTGGGAGCTTCTGACCACAAAGAGGCTTCACTCCGTCCTTTCTCTTGATATAGAAGAAGGAAGCGGTACACGGACTTTGGGGACCAATGCATGCTATTTTTCGCTTAGCAGAAAAAACACTTTTATGCCTAAAAAAAATTAAAAACCCAAAGGCTGTTCTTTAAAACAGTCAGCCTGAGATTCAAAACCAGTTAGCAGTAAACTGGACTAAATAACAGGAGCGAGCAACCCACGGGCCAGGCTCCTCACCGCGAGCAGAGAGGATGGACTTCCCCCAGGAATCGGGCAGACCCGGGTCCTCCGCCTCATTAAAAAGCACATCACACTCCCGACCGAGAACGCACAGGGACAGTCCAGGACTGCACCACAGCCAAGGCTTTGCCTAATTGACCACAAACCCAAGAACATTGCTTCACACGATGAAATGACTTCAAAGTCTTGTTACTCCCAAACAGACCTTCCTCTTTTCAGATGAAAGAGGTTCAAGCCTTTGAGCCCTGACTGGTGTGGCTCAGCTGGCTGCGCATCGTCCCGCAGGGCGAGGCGTAGCCCGTTGGAGTTCAGGTTAGAGCACACGCCTGGGTTGTGGGTTCAGTCCCCGGTCAGGGCACACGCAAGAGGCAACCAACTGATGTTTCTCTCCCTCTTTCTCCCTCCCTTCCTCTCTCTAAAAACCAATACATAAAAAAAGAATGTCTTTGATAAGGACAAGGAGGGACACCTGGCACCTGGGACACATCCTCCAAAAACTCTAGAGCAGAGATATCAAACTCATTTTCACCGGGGGCCATGTCAGCCTTGCAGTTGCCTTCAAAGGGCCAAATGTAATTTCAACTCCTTAACAGTTCAGGAGGAGTTACATTTACACAGTCTTAAAATTATTTCGGCCCTTTGAAGGCAACCATGAGGCTGATGTGGCCCCCGGTGAAAATGAGTTTGACACTTCTGCTCTAGAGGCACCAAGGGAAGACAACTGGATTCGCTCTAAGAGAATAATGGACTTCTGACTAATGGTATTCTACTGACCTTAGAATAGCAATTTTTGAGCCCTGGCTGGTGTGGCTCAGTGGATTGAGCACCAGCCTGAGAACCAAAGGGTTGCAGGTTCGATTCCCAGTCAGGGCACATGCCTGGGTTGTGGGCCAGGTCCCCAGGAGGGTGGGGCCTGAGAGGCAACCATGCATTGACTTTCTCTCCCACTCTTTCTCCCTCCCTTCCTCACTCTCTACAAATAAATAAAATCTTAAAAAAAGTTTTCTTTGTCTTTTGTTAACTGTCTTGTAAGATAAACATGTAAGGAAAAGTAACATCTTTTCACTTGTGAAGTGACTTCTCACAAGTAAAACTACAATTCAGGAACAGGACTAAAATAGTACAACCCACACTCCCCTATGTTGATAATTATTACCTTTACTTCTGAGACACTGTTTACATTCAGATCGCTCTGTGTAAATCCCTCAAAATCCTCCGAGTCAGTGTCCTCTACAAAAATTCTTCTTAGCTCTTCTGTGAAGTACTTGGAACGGAAGTGCACAGCCTGCTAAATCAGACACACACACGTCACAGAGAGAGAAAGAAGAACAGAGGTTACCAGGGTTTCCAGGCAGCGGGGGGCTGTGGCTGGATGAGTCTCGAGTTTGTTTCAGACGACGGAAACATTCTGGAAAAGGACAATGGTGACAGCTGCCCAACGCCGTGAATATACTTAATGCCACTTAGCATCTTGCTGGCAGGAAACTGGGAACTTGTCTACACTTAAAAATGGCTACAATGGTACATTTTATGCTATGTGTATTGTACCACAATGAACATAGAAATAACATCACATTTTCCATAGCTTACAGAAATTCAGGCCTGCAAATGGAATGATTTCAGAAACTCAATGTCCGCAGCGTCAATCAGCCTCTTGTCTGACCCGTAAGCGCTGACAGAATTCAGCCGCTCGCGCCAGGGCTGCCCCTCAGGAATGTTGCCTCCGCACTGGGCCCAGGGGCCACGGGAAGGGACAGGAAGGGACGGGAAACCCTGGCTCCCACCCACGCTTCCCTTGCTAATGGCCACCCAGAGCCCTTCTCCTCCAAGTCACTGAGCATCTCTCTCTCTCTTTCAAATTTTGTTGATTGATTTTTGGAGGAAGAAAGAGGGGACCATCACTTTGTTGTTCCACTCGTCTGTGCCTTCACGGGCAGACTCTTGGGTGAGCCCTTACTGGGGACGGACCCCGCCACCTTGATGTATCAGGGATGACGTTCTCACTGACTGAGCTACCAGCCAGGGCCAGGCATGCCCCCCTTTCACAGACCACAGGCTTCTCTGTAGGAAAGAAAGGGCCGGAGGGCTTCACACTCCCCTGCCCGCCCGCCGGCTGCTGAGCTGACTGCAGGGGCCGCCCCAACAAACTGCCCCGGGGGCCTGGCGGCGCTCCAGCCCAGCAGAGTCCCCGCGTGGTGAGAGGCCACAACCACCGACAGGCAGCACGTGAGCAGAAGAAAAGACGTTGTACGACTGACTCTTAAAAACAGAGGACTTCTTCTTCCTTTTGAACTAATGAAAAGAAGGAAACTGGGTCTTCTAATTGGCATGCCTGAGATAGAGGAGGGACAGGCAAGCCCTGAAGTTTAGGGAGGAGACACCCCCCCCGCCCCGAAGCCAGCAGCCTGGCTGGAGCCCGCACAAGCCCCGCTCCCCCACCCCTGCTGCTGCCTCCAAAGCCCCTTCCCCACCCACCCGAGGCAGCCAGGACCCCTCACCACGCCGCCTCCCACCAGAGAAACCTGACCTCCCCCATGCCTTTCCCCGACTTTAATTATACACTTCAGGCTCCTACCATCTCGGGAGAAAAACAGATGTAACAGACGAGTGGAGAAACTTACAGGGAATAGAGAGAAGAACTGTCTATAGCCAGCACTTTTTAAAGCTTAAAACATCCCTATTTCTGAAGTTAAGTACTACGGGTAATCAGAGTGAGTGTGCTCAGAGCTGATAGCTGGGGTGCAGCTGCTTGCAAACACACACACACACACATGCACACACACAGAGGAAGTTTCTTCAGAGTGAAATTCAAATTGTGTTTGAGGGAGACCAAAGTCGGCATTGCTACACACGCTGAGTACAAGTTCGTGCAGCCTCTCCCGGCCAGTGCAAGTAGAGCTGCGTGTGCGGGGTCGGCAAGGGGAAGCAGTTACGAGGATTTATGATTAAGGAAGAAAGGTGCCCAGCTGGCGCCCGAGGAAACCCACCACGGACCTGCCACCTCCCCCCGGGGCAGGAAACATCTGGTTCCTAGAGGCCAGGCTGGCCCCTGCAGGCTGTTTTGGGGAACGGGGTCAGGGGCAAGTTTCATTACACGCCCCTAGTGACTGCCTCGGACCTGCAGAGAAGCATCAGGCTGCACTGAGGCAGGCTCCCCACTTCCGGTCCTCCAGCAGTTGCTATCCTTTGAGCTGGCTTAACCTGGCAGTGGGCAGCCTGGGAGAAACCCACATCTGTGATGACCGAGTTCTGATAGAGATAAACAACTCCGCCACATCTCTAAGCCAAGGCCTGTGCTTTCCTTCTCCTGACCCGACAGGGTGTAAGGAGTGTTTTTAACATGCCTCTGTATGAAGCACATGTGCACTGCACCCAGCCCTCTAGGCATTCTAGGTCACCACCCCTCGTGGCTCTCGACGCTCCGGGATCCATCTGTTATTTTTTAAAATCAGTACGAGGCAGAATGTTAGCAGCCCTGGTCGCCATGACCAAGGCCATAAGCAAGTAACTGTTAAGAACAAGAGCTAACAGAGCGGCTGCCTTTTCATTTTATTTTGAAGCTCAAGTGACATGAAACAGACTGGAAAGTGATGGTGGGCTGAACAAAGCAGACAAGCATCCCACGTCAACTGCACACCTGTTTGCACCCCACAGGTGCTCACTCACAACGGGTGCTGGATGCACAAAACAGGAGGGAAGGGGAGACAAGCAGTCCAAGCCAGCGAAGTGGGAAGCACCACCCAAGAATGGGGTCCCTTCCATCACAGAGCCTGTCATTTAGTTGGGGAGCCGGACAGGTCCCAAGTAACCATGGTGAGGGTCAGTGTTAGAAGGAAGACACAAGCACAATGGCACTCAGAACGAAAGAAAATCCAGTAAGGCTTCCTGGAAGCAGCAGCATGTGAACTGGATCGGAACTGGAGTAGAGCAAGCACACAGGCAGAACACACAGCACAGACAGACACACGGGGCAGAACAGCAAGGAAGGCGGGAAGCATGCAGCTTCTGGTCTACCGCGGCACCGCAGGCAGGAAAGAGAGCACTGGGAGGTAGCTGAGAGGGTGAGAAGTAGCGCTGCTAGACCCTGGGCGAGCTATTTCCCCTCCCTGAGCGCCAATTTCATCACCTGTAAAATGGGGATAACGCAGCACCCACACCCCCCAGGTAGGCACATGAATTAAGTACAATCCGCATGAAAAGCATATTGTCGTCATAGGCCACCTAAGACAGGCAGGCGGGGCCCACAAGTGTGCTGAGGCACGCTGGGGATGGGGAGGGGGCCAGGCTTGACCACACGGAAGTAGCAGCCATCACAGCAGCCAAGGCAGCTGCTTGGTTTCTTCAAGCCTCCTGAATCCTCAGCACTTCACCCACACCCTCACATGCGTCCAACAGGCTCCACTCTCCCTTGCCACCTGGCCACACTCGAGTAGAGAGACGGGTGATTTCTGAGGAAGGGAAGACCGTGACCACAGCCCAGTCCCACGGCTGAGCTAAGGGCTTCGAGGAAGAGAAGGGAAGAAATAGAGGCGAGAAGACTCACCAACTCCCGGAAGGCAGTCAGGGAGCTGAGGGAGTGGGAGGAAGGGGCAAGGACACCAAAGTTGGAGACAACAAAGGGGGAGCCAGACAGACAACCCGGGGAGGGAAAAGGGCGAGTTTCAGCTCAGCCGGCCCAGCGGCCCAGCAGGCAGTCAGGGATGCATCTGGGGCGGAGGGAGGAGCCAAGCCTTGGAACTGGGAGGTGACAGCGGAAAGCTGGCCAGTCACTGAGATCGCTAAGTGAGAAGGTCTGAAGACAAAACCCCGGACAACATCCACTTACGGGGACAGGAAAGAGGAGAGATGGCAACCAGGAACAAACGGTGTACTCGAGAGGAAGAGGACCGGGGGGTGGAAGCAGGTGGCTGGTGGGGGCGAATGCAGTGGCGACATTAAGTAAGGTAAGGACCACAGAGGGGGGCCCCCATGTCCTGGAAAACCATAGCCCCACCGAGGCCAGAGCTACACAGCCAGCCAAGCCATCAAGCTGCACTGCCCTCAGACATAAGTAGCTTCCTTCCTGCACTTGCCCAGTAGACACAGGGTGGGTTTAATTTATGGCCTTTTAAGAGAGACCATGGTCGAGGGAGAATGCAGACTTTCAAGTGCGAGATATCTCGGAGGGCCATGCTATTGCTAAGGCACAATGTAAACCCCCAGGAGTCTGACTCTCAGAAAACTGTAACTTGTGTGTGCCACAAAGTAATTATGGAAGAAAAAAATGCTCCTCCCAGACATTCCACTAGGGAAGTGCAGAAAGAACCACGCCGCAGGAGCAAAGACCCAACTGTCCTGCAGTAATGACACATTTCAGCACTGCGCTGCGTGGTGTGGGCTATCGCTGTGAACGCCAGCCCCACCCCTCCCCCACACACCCCGGCTGTGTGCAAGTCTCTGAATACAGCCCCATCACAGACAGCAGTCCCGAGGTTGCACAGAGAATGGATTTGATCATGCGAGGTCCCCTTTATTAAAAAAACAAAATGATTGTACGTAAGGATTTAAACAGCAAAAGTAAGCTAGGTACTCTTACCAGTTTCTCGAAACATGAAGGCATAATGCTTATAAAAATAAAGTGCTCCACAATTAACGAACGCCGCCAATCTCAGACCATGCGGTGTAGAGGAAAGAGCATCCGACCCCAGGCCCAGGCTTCCGGGCAGACACCAGGGCATCCGTACCTGCTTCCCCGACTCCAGGGAGCCGAAACTATTGTGGCTCTCCTCCGCCAGGCAGGTTCCCACGGGAACATCATCTCGGAAGCCGAGGAAGTCTTCGTCGTCACTAGGGGCGTTGAAGATGTCCGACACTTCTTTAGAGATCTGTTTGGGATTTAAAACAGAAAGAGCACAATCACTTGCAGAACTTTTCTAAAGAGGAGTAGGAACTACCATCTCGTAACTCGGTCAGTCTGCCTGGGCTGTCCCGTAGACCCCAGTCAGTAACCCTGAGCTGAAAGTGCGTCCGCGCAGATCCTAGGCAACACGGGAGGGGGGATGGGAATAAGACTTCTTCGAACTCTAGAGACATACCCCCAGCTTACGGAGAACGTGAAGACCGTGCCTAGATAGACAGAAGCCATTTCTGATCTCTACAAAATGTGAGAAAAATGGGCACCTGTCTCTGAGAAACCAATGCTCTATTTTCTGCCCCAGGGGATGTGCCTTTAAACGGCATCCACGGAAAAAGGCCTCCGTGACATCCTACTGCCTCCTCCTCTCTCAGTTCCCACCTCCCGGTCTTCATTCTTCTGTCCCTCCTCATGTGCTGACGCAGATGTGAAGACGCGCACCACGAAATGCCTTTCCTTCTTCCCTATATTCAACCTACTGCATAAGGAGGCAAAAAAATGGCAGGTTACCCTTATTCGTTAGTAGTGTTTTTAAAAACATGATTGTAAAAGCTTTAAAACACGTGTGTAAGAGGAGGAAGCAGTGTAATGAACACACATGTCGACCCCCTGCCCAGAGAGTTATCAGTCCCTGAGTCCCTACACCCTACTGCCCCCCTTCCAGATTATTGTAAAGCGGTTATAGACAGTATCATTCACCCTGTGTAACCAGCACATACAGTCGGTGGTTGCTGTTTTATTCACTTATTTTTTAACTCAGTTTATTTGTGTCACCATCCAAGTAAGGTGCATTAAGTAGTTAATGTGTCTCTTAAGTCCTTCCTTATGTTTCCATTATCTTTTTAACATCTCCATTTACATTTTCTTTCTTGCAACTAATTTTGGAAGAAACTGGGTCCTTGGGCTGTAGCATTTGCCAGAGTTTGTTCACAGCCCCAAGAGGGCATTTCACAGACTCCTGTCCCTCTGGATTTCTTGTGCTTTGGTAGCTGAATCTGGAATTAGATAGGGCCTCCGCATTCGGGTCTGCCTCCTGGCACTGCCTCCCAGGTAGCGTGGCGCTGGGCCCTTCCTGCAGAGAGCTCACCATGTCTGGCTGTCTCACTCTTTAGCAGTCACGCTATCTGAGTAACAAGTTATGGCGGGGTCTGCCAGGTTTCTCCCTAGCAAAAATACTCTACCCCTTTGTATTTACTAAGTAATAACTGCACTGATATTTGAGAGAGAAATGTCTTAGTCTGTGAATATCCTTCTCCCTAATAACATTTCCCTCAGTCCTTTCAGTATCCAATGACAACCCTTGCCTGAATCAGTTATGGCATTAGGGGCTGCAAAAGGGTGATTTTCCCATTCCAGTCCCCCTTCGTATACCAGCTGGCATTTTCTGTAATACGATAGTCTCTCTCTCTTCCTGTCTTTCCCTTCTCCCCGCCCCCCCAACACTGCCCCCCCCTGCCCACCCCCCCGCATGTAGATTCATGGATTTTTTTTTAAACTCAACGTTATAGCCCATTACTGTCATCATTCTTTCTGAGGCCCAAACTGCTCCATATTTGGCCACTGGGAGCTCCTTCAAGCTGGGTTCTGTTGTCCTTTTGACACAACCCTAACACGCTTTGGTCACCTCCTTCCTTTCTGTCACAACAAGCATGCCGAGCTAGCCTTCCACTTCACCTGCCCCAGACCTTGAACCAGCCACTTCTCCAAGGAGCCCAGGCATGAAAAATCAAGATCTGAGAACTCAGAGTGCTCCTTGCTGGTGAAGCATCATTGCTTCTGGGCTCTTTGACTAGACAGAGCATAGACATTTTAGGTATTTTAAATCACAAGTTCATGGTGATACCCTGAATCCAATCCAACATGGCGGATTTCTCCTCACCAACCTCAGTCCCATTTAATGGATCCCCGCCCCCCAATGAAAACCTCAGTTCCACTTCTATACTTACCCAGTTGCTGTATCTACAACACAGATGAAATAGTTTCAAACTTACACAACCAATGACACCACCACCAAGTCAAGTTCAAGCAAGATCCCTTTGTGGTTCTTTGTATCCTTGGAACACAGCTGGACTATGTACTACGTGCACCAGATCTTTGCCCTGAGACGACCAACCACACAAGCACTGTACTTACGGATGCAAAGGACTTCCTACGTATGTCCGTTTCATCATCCAATGTTAGGGTGATGCCCTCAAGGGTCAAGATTTTAATCAGACAATTTCTACTGTTATGAGACTTTCTTCTGGGAAGCTGGCCTTTTCTCCTAAGATCGCGCGCACCGACGGAAAGAACGTGACGACCACGGCACAGCCTGGTGCCACCGCCCGGGTGCGGGCCACCAGCCAGCAGTGCGCTCTGCCTCTGCTGGTGCCGCCAGTGCAACAGCAGCCCAGCGGAAAGGGCAAGTGATGTCTTAGTGTTATTCTGACAATAACTCCATCCTCGTGCAACTCGGGAAGGGCCCTGGGGCTCCCCGGACCGCAACCACTCCGCTGCGCCCGCATACACAGAGTTGTGTCTTCAAAAGTTAGTTGAATTCTTTTTCTTAATGTGTGTTGAACTCATTTTAGAGTCAGTATGGATCATTTGAGAAATTACGACTGTGGTTATTTTTACCGTGAATGCTTCTTATTTAAAAATGAATAGAAAGTTACTGGTTCAGTCGAAGGGAACGTAAGTAGCATTTGCTTTTCAGTGAACGCAAGTTCAGAAACTGAACACAGCAAGCTTAATGACAGCAGAGGGTTAATGTCAAACACTTTCCCACCATCTAACAAAATCACCGCAAGGGACAAACAGGCAGGCGCAGAATTAGCGTTCCCCTAGTGAGAACAGAAACCTGCCACTTTACACGAAGAAGCAGACATTTGGGCCTAAACCAAGCCCAGCATCGAGATGGTTCTTGGGAAAAAGATGCCAACTTTTCATAGGAAGCCAAATCTAACAGTATTTCAAAGATTAGCTTAGCAAAGATTAGTATTTATCTTTTCAAAGACACCATTTTGTTTGGCCATCAGAACCGACACTCCAATACTCCTAAACTAGAGAAACAGGTACGAAACAGTTACTCCTGAGTGTGTGGCCTACCCTTAGGTAAAGCGTAATGGACTCAGCGTAACAGCCACCGAGTTCAGTGCCTCAGGTGGCAATGGGAGAGGGAACTTTCCTTCTGACTCACCATCAGTCTATGAATCTACAGGCCCTGCTGGCCAGAACCTGGTTGCACAAGGTTAACCCTTCGTTAACCTTGAGGAGCACCCACTACAGGGATTCAACGGAAGCACACAAGGAGTGGAGAGGCTGGCGATGTGAATACACACTTCTAGGGGCTCCGCGCTGGCCCTGGGGCGCCTGTCACAGCTGGCCACCACTGCGGAGCCTGTCCAGCATGCAGGACAGTGGTCACCTCACAGAACAGTCTTTCCTCCACAGTAATGGAATGTTTTGGACTAGACAGAGGTGGTGGTTGTACAACATGAATGCACTAAACCGTTCACTTTAAAATGGTTAACTTGATGTTATATGAATGTAACCTAGATATTATAGTAACTGAAAGTCTTGTTTATCCTACACTATTCAAACTTGTTTATATTAATAAATACACAAACGTAGGCAAGTGGTTTACTAAATGCTTCAAATCACATGTAGAATGCAGAAACAGAAGAGCCCTTCCTGACACTCGTGTGGAATGTCAAGGGTCCCTGAACTACCAAAACGATCTTGAAAAGGAAGGACCACATTGGAGGACTCACACTGACTCATTTTAATACTTACGACAAAGCTGCAGGAATCCCAAAAGTGGTCCTAGCATACAGGCGGACAAGTGGATCAATGCAACAGAAATACAGCCTCGCAGGTGTGGTCAAATGACTTTTGACAAGGGTGCCGGGGCTGTTCAACATGGAGAGGGCAGTCTTTTCAACAACAGATGTGGGAAAAACTGGCCCTCCACATGCCAAAGGATACAGGCGGACCCTTACTTTACACCATCTACAAAAAAAACCCCTCAGAATGTATCAAATTGCATGTCTTTGGATTTGGCAATGATTTCCTGGATGTGACACCAACAACACAGGCAGCAGTAGGAAAAACAGGTAAACTGGACTGCTTCCAAATTAAAAGCTTTTGTGCATCAAAGGACATGACCCAGAGAGTGAAGGCAGTCACCTACAGAACGGGAGAAAATGTTTGCAAATCAGGTAAGAGATAAGGGATTAATACCCAGAATACATGAAGAACTCCTACAGCTCAACAATACGCACTGAAAAATGAGCGAAGGACTTCAGTAGACATTTCTCCAAAGATATACAGAAGGCCACTAGGCCCACGAAAAGATGTTCAGCATCACCCACCATTAGGGAAATGCAAATCAAAACCACCACGAGATACCCCTTCACACCCATTAGGATGGGTACTAGCAACAGAACTGAAAATAAGTGCTGGTGCGGATGTGGAGGCATCAGAACCCTCGGGAACTGCCGTGGGAAAGGAAACCAGCGCAGCGGCCACTTGTCAGGCAGTGCGGTGGGTCCTCAGAAAGTTAAGCTGGAGTTACTACCCTACGACCCAGGAACTCCACTTCCAAATGTATTACAAGGGGGGATTCGAAGAGCTATTTTACACCAACGTTCATAGCAGCATTTTCCACAATAGCCAAAAGGTGTAAATAGCCCAAATCAAGTGTCTGTGAATGGACGAACGGAGAAACAAAACATGGTAAATATACACATATGATGCATTATCATCCAGCTTTTGACAACAACATTATGTTAAGTGAAATACGGCAGACACAAAAGGACGAATACCGTATGACTCCAATAGACTCACAGCAGGCACCTAGACCAGTCAAACTCGGAGACAGAAAGTGCAGTGGGGGCAGGAAGGGGGAGTTCAGTGTTTAATGCTACCAAGTTTCGGCATAGGATGGTGCGGCTCTAGAGATGGACAGTGGCGAGGGGGGTGCACAACAAT